TTATAGGTCTAGCACAATATGTCTTTAGCACAATATGTCTTTAGCACAATATGTCTTTAGCACAATATGTCTTTAGCACAATATGTCTTTAGCACAATATGTCTTTAGCACAATGTCTTTAGCACAATATGGCTTTAGCACAATATGTCTTTAGCACAATATGTCTTTAGCACAACATGTCTTTAGCACAACATGTCTTTAGCACAATATGTCTTTAGCACAATATGTCTTTAGCACAATATGTCTTTAGCACAACATGTCTTTAGCACAATATGTCTTTAGCAGAATATGTCTTTAGCACAATATGTCTTTAGCACAATATGTCTTTAGCAGAATATGTCTTTAGCACAATATGTCTTTAGCACAATATGTCTTTAGCACAATATGTCTTTAGCACAATATGTCTTTAGCACAATATGTCTTTAGCACAATATGTCTTCTAGGCTAAGGCCTGAAAAGGGTCTTTTATTTACTTACTTACTTACCGTATTTGTCTGTGTATAAATTTAGGGTCGCCTTATACATGGAATGTGTTTAAAATATTTGTTTCTTAATTTTGCGCTAAAAATAAATAGGGGTCATCTTATACATGTGGGCGTCTTATACACATGAAAAAAGATTACTTCTTCAATTACTGAGCTTTATGGATACCATCTTTGTTATCTGATTAAGTCACTCATATATATATATATATATATATAAAATGTTCATGATATGTGCTGCTAAGTAATAAATACTTCATAACATACACAATTATGACCACAGTAATAATAATAATTGCATTCACTGCCTGTATTTACCACTTTTAGGGCAGTGTAGGATGAAATCGAAGGAATGGGGTAGAGGGGGAATCATGAGCTTAAATATTGAAGGCCACATTGCTAGTTAAGTTGCCATGAGCTGTACAGGTTATGATTTGGCGCTGGGGGGAGGGAGGGCCTCCCGAAAAATTGCAATCCCTTAGCAAGGATCGAACCTTGGTATATTGTATGAGTCCCCAATACTATAAACCCTCAACTAGCCCCTCTTCTTGATAATAACAATATGCTTTAATAGACTGACCAAGCAATATACACAATAATATAACAGACGATTCAGGCGAAATCATTACATTAAACACTGTTAGCAGAACTACATTATGTTTTACTTGCTTTCTAATCACGTGGAATGGCTTGAAAAAGACGGTGATGGAGGGTGCAGTTTGTGGAAGGCAAGGCAGGGGTCAACTTACGCAAATATGGATACAAGATATTGAAGATTCATTGGCATTGAAAGTACATGGGGCCAGAGAGTTGGCGAGGCAAAGGGATACTTTCAGGCGTGCCATGAGGAGAGCGACGTTCTGTAAAGGACTTGCTGAGTGATGATGAATCACATGAAAAATGGACAGCTATTGCTCAAGTTAAATATAGGTTTCCAGAAAAGAGGAGAGTGCTGTTAGTACAGTAAGTTGTTTCTATATTTTGTGTCATTTTCTGAGATATTAGAATGTCCTCTAGAAGGTAGGCCGCATTTTGCTGTTGAAGCTATTTACACATTAACCTACAAAGAAAGCAAAAAAAATGGTATGGCCACTTAAAAAGAGTACCTTGTGATGCCATATCATACATGGCATATACCAGAAGGGGAGAGGTACGGAGAGCAGGAGACAGACCAAGAACAAGATGCAAAGTAAACACAAAAGAAACTATACAACAGCTCAACATGGCTGTGATTGAGGTGGCTTGAACAGCAGATAGAGGAACAGTTAAAGAGAAAGTGAAGAAGAAGGAGACACAGACAAAATCAATCAATCAATCAGGTGCCGTCTCCACAGCGAAGGCTGGCTGCAATGGATCTTCAACATGCTCTGTCTCTTGCCCTAGTTTTAAATCTCTCATACTGCTGCCCGTCAATCTCTTAATATTGTCCTCCCACTTTTATCACTGCCCATCTTTTGCTCTTCTACCTTTGACCTTTCCCTCCAGTATGGTCTTCAAAAGTGTGTTATGTCTTTTAATGTTGCCAAAGTATCTAAATTGTCTCTTCTTTATTTCTTTCAGTAACTCTCTTCTCATTTGTAGTCCCCTCAGAACCTCTGTACTGGACTGTTTATTTCCATGAAATATGACCTATTTTTCTGTATACCCACATTTCCATAGACTCAATTCGATTTTCTAGTTGCGTGTTCATTGTCCAAGTATCTGCACCACACTGGGTAGACAAAATATAAACTATTTAAAATTAATTAAGTCATATAGTGTAGTAATTATCAGTTGTCCATTTGTGTACACAAGTGTGTATGAATTTCCTGCTATTATTTATGTTTTGCAGCAACAATTGCTTTTTCCCCTATAGTTTCTAGTTGATTAATTTTACATTATAAGGCATCTGTCAATTCACTTTACATAAGAAGCTTGTTGTTGATTTACTTTACAAACAAAGCTGGTTATTCTTCTTCTTTCTTGAAATAAATTACCTATATCTGCAATCTTGTCTCTAGTTTGAACTTCACTGTCTTTTGTAATTCAGTCAGCGACCCGTAAAGTTCGACTTGCACCAAAGCCAGTTATTAATTTACTTTACAAAGTAAGCCAGTTTCCACTCACAAGTTAGACTTAGCAACACTTTTCGTCTAAGCTGCTTGCCAGCTTTTTCAATACTTTAATGCAAAATATTTGAAATGCTATCTTTGGCACTTTCTAGATGAGAAAGGAGGGTTGGGCATGGTGCCTGCTTCTATGACAAACATTAATGAAATAGGTCAGGGGTACTTGATTAGATTCCTAAGTAGCTGATGTTGCTTATGTAAGCTTCATCATTTATTTGTTAAATTCAAAGTTGAACTTACATACACGCCACAAAAATATTGTTAAACATATGCATTAAGAATTTAGCTACATACTTTTGTATGAAGGTTATTTTGTTTTTTATAAAATGATTTCTCCTCTGTTTCGATCCCAAAAGTTATGTAAGGAGACACAACCATATCGCCCCAGTAACCGCGTCTTGGGAATCGTTCGCCATCCTGTTTTGAATATAAAGAAAAATATGATGACTAAATATCATACTAATTTGACAAAATTCTATATGCGTGACATTATTATTATTATAACAATTACATGACATTTTTATACATACAATTACATTATAATATCTAACTATCAAAACATTAAGCATGAGAATGGAGGTGGAGGCAGTAACAACAGCTTTCCAATGGCTGGAGAGTAATATAGTTTGACACATTTTAATTGTAATGAACTCACAGAGAATTCTATGAAAAATACAGTCTTGTGTCCTAGGGGTAGAATGGTTCGCACTAAGACAGGGATCATACAGTGAATTTTCTGCATGAAGTCTCTCTAGGATCAAATAGACAATGCAAAGAAACAGACACAACACCCCTACCTCAAAAGGCTGATTCAAAAGGGATCAGGCAGACGATCAGGATGGTTTTCAATGGTAGGGAACAAGACAGGCAGACTTTAAACCAGGTTGTAACTTGGACCATCAGTATGGAAACTCATCACTGGCTACTAAGGAAAGGGAAGGAGCACGCGTGGAAATGCCATTCCTTCATTTATTCTACATAGCATAAGAATTGCATGACAATATATTAATATATTTATAAGCCTGTGGCTTAGTCATTGTGAACACACTTGGTAATGTGGTACTGTGGTGGTGCCGAGAGCTGACCATTCATTAAGCAATAGCAAACTACTGAATGTAAAATATGCCTAGAAACACCATAACAGCTAAATAAATGCTAGCGCTGGTTCTGCAACATCATGTAAATGATATACAATTAAATAACTGACTATAAATATATATAAGATATCATCATCATCAGGTGCTTTGCTGACTGGCGTGGGCGATCATGCCTTTCCATAATCTGCGATCTCCTGCAGCATGTATCAGTTCCTGTGCCGACACACCTCCATGCCATGCAACAAGACTGTCAAGCATCTGCTCTCATTGTCTTCCTCTATCTCTCCTTCCACATATCTTTCCAGTGGTCACAACATGTTCTATTTTCCCTCTTCTCACAACATGGCTGAAAAATAATGACTGTCTCCTTCTGATGTCTGTGATAAGTTGTCTTCGGGCTCCCACCTCCTTCAAAACCTCTTGGTTGCTCTTTTTGGCTGTCCAAGGTATTCTAAGCATTCTTCTGTAAAACCACATCTCCGAGGCCTCCAGAAATTGTTTGGCCTGCCTACCGATTATAAGATTATATAAGATATACATATATATATTATCTAGGATCTAAGATCAACCCAGCCTAAAATTGGTACCAGGCACAAAGAAGTTGTTTATCGTGTTGACTACATAATCTTATGAGTGCCGGCTGATACAAAAATATGAGTTGAGTTTAGCTGAGTTGATTTAAGAACCGACATCACAGCATATGGGAGAGGGGAGCATTCTCATGTGCTCTGTCCCCATTCTCAGCAGCCAGCATAAGTTCCAATACCAGTGGTACAAATAGCAGTCTAATTATATGAGATACAAAGATATGAGGTTACTATCATGACCCAACTTTTTCATGATAGGAAAAGTGGCTCAGCCTATTTTTACTTACAAGTTTGAACACCATAGCTGATGACAATGTTCTGTTAGGCACATTATAAGTTCCATCTCTAATCTGGAATGCTACACCATTTTCTCTCCACTGTTTGTATTGATGAAGATAAACAATGGAACCCTGTGAATATACATAAATTCAAACTTTCAGTGAATTATACAATTAATTTCAAAATAAATGTTATTTAAAAATTTGAGCAACACTACACAACACTATAATTATATGAAAAGACAATGCTGTCCCATCTGTAAATTTTCTTCATTTGAAACAGAAAAACAGATACAATAAATTTTGCATTCTCCCCTTTAGGGCTCTGGTGGGAAGGGGGAGGAAATAGTCCCACTGCCTAACAAGTACATTGTTTAAGGCGACTAATTAGGAATTTTTCCACTGAAGTCAGAGTGCATCTGCCTGAGAGGAGAGGAACCGACAGTATGCACACACATAAGCAGATATGTAACATGGATGTGCACATAAAATTCAAGTTTTGCAACAAGACTAAAGTCCAAAAGTGAAAGAACAACCAAAACTTTTTGCCAGAGTTTACATCCGCAGAACGCTAAGAAAAAGAAGAAGGGGTTTTGCATTTATTTGTTGAGATTTTTACCATATTTATGATATTTTTAATACTGGTAACGAAATTTTAACTATTCTTCTTCTTTTGTCAATATCTGCTTATGCTGCTGAGTGTCGCAGTTCATCAGATGATCGGCAGCTGAGCCATTGCGTGCTCGGTCGCTTGATATGCCGTGATGTTATGCGGTGTCAGTGACTCTTCAACTAAAATGACATTGGCTCCCCAGGTTAGCCCAGCCTAAAATGGACGTCAGGTAAAGTCATGGAAAGTAAAGACAGCCAGCCTGGTGTTGACAACATCGTCCACTGATTGCTAAATGGTCTACAAAAACATGAGTTTAGCCTCATATGCCAGATGAACCACTTGTAATAAAATGGTCCTTTTTTTTTTTAACTTTAACAAGTGGATATGACAGATGTATCCACTTGTCTCAATTGTCATCTCAGTGGGTGTAAAAGTTAAATGCACTGGATACTTTCCAAGGCCTTTATGTAGCAGGTATGATGAGCTACATATTTGTGACTTGCACTGTTGATTTCCTTGGATTTTTCTTCACTCAGTAGAAGCATTCTTCAGCAGTTGTGGGGTGTTTCAGTCTTTTTTTTTTTTTTTGTTGTTGCTTTTCCCACATCCATATGTTTCCAGCAGTTTACAGTAATACAGAGCACACCTCCCTCCACAAATCATTCCTGACAAACTCTTTACAATGGTACAGTGTTTCTGATCACAGTGAAGCTAAATTTATTAATATTCTTTGTTGGAAGAAGTAGTCTACCTAGAGTCTGCAATCAGATAATGAAACAGTAGATGAAATAATGACTTTTCTTCTAATATTTTACTTTTAAGATGATTTTAAATAAGCTTGAATTCAAACAGTAACTTTCAAACAGATAGTCAAGTGATATTTCTTTCTTTAAAAAAAAAAAGTAACAAATGAAAAGAGATTCCATCTTCTACTGAAATGTCTTCACTTTATGGACAATAAATTGTAACTATGAATTATTCAGGGAAAACACTATACACTGTGAGAAGCAGTTAAATGTACACATAGTACCCATTTAATTGGTTAAATGTCTCTTTATCTGTGAATATCTTCCACTGAATAAGCTACCATCCAGAAAAAAATGTATATACCCCACGTTCAATGAGCTCCATATTGTAATCCCAGTCATATACATTTTTCCTACTGTCATACCGAACACCAAGAAGCTGACGTAATCTCAGATCCCTGCACATACAAAAAAAAAAGAAAAACAAAACATAATAATTTTTTTTTTCTGACATGTACTTTATTGCAGCTGGGTTGGCACAGTGCTAGTATTCTTACCTACCAACACATTAGCATTTGCCACTAATAATGTACACATATACGGATAAATATATATGTATGTGTGTGAGTATATACATGTATATTAAAGGACCTTTTTCCGCACCTTGAGGCATATTGAGCATAAAGGGCTAGACCTATATTTTATAGACCTCTCTTCTTCTTCTTTGCGTTCGGTTTCGTATGCTCAGATCAGACCATCAGGTGGGTTGCCTCTATGAACTCGCATGTCAGTTGCAGGTCCTTCATGGTTCCCCATAGCTAGCTCTGCACACTTTGCTCTTGAGGCCAGGTGTCTTTTCGAAGTTGCAGGTAGAGTGGGCAGGTCTGCAGAATGTGCTGAGGTGTTTGGGGTCCTGTTTGACAGGTACACTGGGGGGACTGCACAATCTTTATTTTATGCATGCGGTAGTTGAGCCTGCAGTGTCCTGTTCGTAGACGGAAAATTGTTGTATGTTGCTTTCTGTTGAGTCTGTTGATGGGGTCTTGTGGATGTTTACTGTTACATTTGTTCTCTCCACAAGCCCTTGTATTTTCCTTTGATAAGTGTTCTGATTTCTGGTAATGACAATGAATGGGCATGTTGTTTTTCCTTTGTTCCATTTTTTGCAAGTCTGTCTGCTAACTCATTTCTTGGTACGCCGCAGTAAGCCAGGATCCACTGGAGAACGATTTGATTGTTTTCTGTGAGTCGGTTTAGCTGATGGGTCAGTTCTCTTTCCATGTTGTCTCGTGGATCCCTTATGAGACGCCTGGAGGACTGACATGCAGTCACAAAGGGAAAAAAAATTTCTGTTTTTAATTTTTCTTTCCTCAAGCACTCTGGCTGAATCAATAATTGCATGCTGCTCTGCTCTGAAGTTTGTTGAGAGTCTTCCTGAGGCGCATGACGTTTCTACGGTGGTCCCATCTTGTAGCATGATGGCCGATCCAGCTCCTCCATTTTTGTCTGCTCCCTCCAATGATCCATCAGTGTATACATGTGTCCATCCGGGTCTTGGATAACAGCTGTAGTCATGTTCAAGGGTCTTTGCATGCAGTACTAGGTCACATTCTTCAGCCTTTCTGTCTATGTCTGGAATTGTTGTTGTGACTGTATATTTAGGCTGTAGGTCTATGCTGTATGCCTGGATCATTTCCCATGTTAAAGGATCTTTAGAAAGGATGTCACTGTTTTTTGTGTAGTACAATTTTGATAGATGGTGAAAGCTTTGTCTTTTCAGTCGGTTTTTGGTTAAGTTATTTGCTATTCTGTGCATGGGGTTGTTGTTCATGCGTTTAAATTTTTCTGTTAGGGCAAGCACCTTTTCTTCCATTCGAAGGCTCAAGCTCTCGAGGCCACAAGTTGCCTCCAGCTCATTAATTGGTGTGCTTCTCATACCTCCAGTGATGATTCTGAGACCAGTGTTCTGTATTTTATCCAGTTTGTGTAGGTTTGTTTTGGCTGCAGTGGAGTATGCTCCCATGCCATACTCCAGTTTTGGTCGTACGTATGCTGTGTATACTTGTCGTACAGTGTTGGCATCTGCACCCCAGCTTGTTTCAGTAAGTTTCTTCATAAGTCCGAGCCTCAGGGTAGCTTTTCTTTGGGTGTCTGCAATGTGGGAGCCCCAGGTTAGCCTTTTGTAAAATTTTACTCACAAATATGTGGGGTTATCCTCTTCTGGAAGGATGTTGCCTTCTAGGTACAGATCAACTTGTTCTGGCTTTGTGGAAAGAGAGAATAAAGTTGAGACGGTTTTGGTCTGATTAATTGTCTCCCCAAGAGTCTGTCCATTTCCTAACTGTATTTATAGCTTCCTGCATTCTTGTTTTTGTTGTTCCTATATGTTCAGCTTGAGTCCATATGGCTGGTCATCTGCATGTAGCACCTTGTGAATGTGAGACGTGAACTGTTTCGGGAAGTCATTGATGAAAAGAATAAACAGGGTAGGAGATATAACACCTCCCTGGGGGACACCTTCTTGTAACCTGACCAGCTTGCTCTTGTGATCTTCCAGTCTGACTCTCGCACAGAGTCTGTAAAGGAAGTCTCTAATCCAAGCAAACATATGCCCTTTTATCCCACAGTGTGCTAGTTTGAGCAAGAGTCCTTTCTTCCAGACCTTATCGAAGGCTTTGGTCAGGTCGAAGAAAGTAGCTAGCAGTTTGTATTTTTTCTGGAAAGCATCTTCAATTTCCTGTGCGAGATAAGAAGTTTGGTCATCAGTGCTTCTGTATCTCCTGAAGCCTGATTGGCTGTCATCCAATATCTTGTTTTCTTCTAGGAAATTAAGCAACCTGCTGTTCACTTATCTTTCCATGGTCTTTCCAAGGCAGCTTAGGAGGCTTATGGGGCGGTAACTGAATTTGTTTTCCTTGTGCTTTCCTTTCTTGGCTATGGGAACTATTTCTGCCTCCTTCCATTCCTTAGGAAGTAGTCCCTGGGCCCAGGATTGGTTTATAAGGTCTAGGAGTTGTTGCCTACCAGCTGGTCCCAAGTGTACTATCATTTCATTTGTTATTCGATCAGGTCCAGGTGCCTTCCTTTTCTTAAGATTTTATAGACCAATCAGCACTTAGTGGGTGAAGTGGTCAATATCATGATGACCGCTTTTATGTCCTAGGACTACACCTGGTACCTAGCTAAGGCTATATATAGGCTCTGTGGTTAAGTCGATGCGAACGCTTCATAATGCCAAGGTTCGATCCCAGCTGTGGGCCATGCTCTTTGCGTTGGTTTTGACAGTGGTATCAGGGAGCCAACTGTCCAGAAAGCAATGGCAAACTAATGGATGTAAATTTTCAAATCTGCAGGCGTGTGTCTAGCTGCTACACCACCGCGTTGCATACACACTTATATTACATGAGGCACCGATGGGATAGCTGGGACACACATAAAAAACATGACTGTCCAAATGAAAATGGGACGCATGGTCACCCTAGCTCAGGTTATATTCCTATTCTTTTCCCTTGGTATTTTTCTGTCAAATTCACCAGCTGTTATTAAGTTTTCAAGTATATTACTCTTTATATCATGTTCACAAAATCTAGATTGTCTACAAATAATTTTTCCAATCGATTCTTAATTTCGGGGGTTACACAACTAAGTCGTCCCCATGTGCGTATCCTTGTCAGCAAGTTGCAGAACCAACCCCAACATTTGTTGAATGTTTGTGCTTTCACTAGGCAAATTTGCATTCAGTAGTTTACCACTGCTTCAGAGTGGTCAACTCTCAGTACCAACTGTCAAAACCAACACAAGGTCAAAATGACTGCAGCTGGGATCGAACCTGGCATGCCAAAGTTGTGAAATGCATTCACAACACCCAAGCCACAGACGCTGATGTCTTGTATATATAAGTAATTAATTAACTACATTGCAACTGACTTGAACAAGTTCACCAAATGTTTAAATAAACCCACTCACCAGCATTTGGCTATTTCAAATGCAATCTTGGATCTGTTTCTCCAGAATTTCAGGATGCTCTCCAGAAAGTCTCTTTCCTTGTACTTAAAAATTGACATTGTGATTACAGATTTACATTAAAAACTTATTTGAAGTGAAGAATTGTTATAAACACTATTTTCAGCAAATAAAACTTTTAATGATATCTGTTCATTAGATAAATCAATTATTTTAAAAAAATGCTGCACTGACAATATAAAACTGTCAAAGTTTCTTAAAAAAAACATGACAAAAATAAAATGTTATCCAAAATACTCAGTTATTTACTTATGTTGCAGGTACAACATCCTTTCCAAATCAAAAATTCAATTGTCTCTGTTTTCTAAATTCACTGCAGTCATATTTAGTAAACCTCTCAAATTAATCAAATCAATAATTCACTCCACCATGATTTATATAATTAATTTCAGTTTTTTCCATAAATACTTTCAGTATAGACAATTATTAGAGCACTGATTAAGGCCTTGGGGAATTTTTTTTTTCAATGTTATTAACTTTACAAAATACAGAATGATAACACAATTTTACCACACAGTCCCTATTTCATTATGCAAATATGACAGAGAAACAAATAACAGACAGACAACTTATGTTACTGTATAACATCTGCAAAAGCATTTACCATGTTGTTAGCTGATGTAAAACAAGAAAACAGAAAGTAATAGAAGAAAATAAGTAAACAACTAGTGGTTGATTATGTACACTTGCCCAAACAAGACTTGGTAAAGAAAATAAATTCCACACAGAAGAATTAAAATGGAACTGTTAAAACAATCTCTGAACATAAATAAATAGTAGAGTGAAGAGATAATGCACATGAGTTACTGAGACAATTAAGGAAAGCAAATAATAGTAACATTGCACCCCTATAAGCTTGGTATAAAACATTTCAGCCACAAAAGCTGACCAGCCATGAACACGTTTTAAAAAAAGGAGTTTGAGCTAGCTGAGAGCCAATGCTCCACTGGAGGACACAGGGCAGAAGAGAAGTGAGAAAAGAAAAGACTAAGAAAAGCTAAGAAACCATTTTTAAAAAAAAAGAAGAACAAAGAGAATCCTTACTGTCTTTTGCTTATCCTACAAGGTACATTTTACAATAATAAATCTACTGCTATATGAATATGTCTTTAAAAGTTACTGTAATAAATATGAATCACTTTCTCACTACAAATCTTACCTTCAAGTTTGATAAATCAAACAGTGGCAGCTTTTTGTCCATGTAGTCAAAATCTGTGACCATTCTACAAAAATATTTTAAAGACAGAATGAAACTGGTATTAATCTATCCCTACACACAGATCAGCTAGAGATCATCTTCATTTAGTGAAGATAATTTCTATGGTAAGGCAGATAGATTCTGATACTGAGATTGCAACTCATATTTGTCATTGAAATGGGCTGGGATTCGCACGCCTGCTGCCTACAGCATAACACTTATCATGTGGAAAGATAGAAAACTGCCATATACTGGCATGTGAAACATGTAATCTTAGACTCTCACAAATTCTTCTTCTTCTTCTTTCCTTTGTCCCCCCTCCCCCCCCCCTCCCCCACCGGGGCAATAGGCCCTCAGCCAACTAACACCAGGCTGTATTATTCTTTATTATCCACATCTTTTTTAACTTTACTTTCTTGTTCCCTGTTCCATTTGGAGGGGATGGGGGTTCTGCCTTTATTTCTATGGCCCTGCTGATCCAGTGTAATGACCTTCTAGTTATACTGTTTTCAAGTTTTCTCAACATGTGTCCCATCCTAAGCCAGCATTTTTCTGGGTCCTTTCTTCCCCTTTTGATTCACTATAATCTGTTTAGTTCTCTCCCAAAGTTCCACATCAGTGATTCTATCATACCATTTAACACACAATTTACCATTTTCTATACAGGGAGAATTGTAGGCAGACATAATGAGAAAGACTGGCCAGTTTTTTTTAATCATCTTTCTTTCCTAAATCATTTTCATAAAATTTTGAAAATTTTCTGATACCTAGTTTGGCTGGCCGAGTGGTTGGAGTCTTGGACTCTCATGTTGGTATACAGGTGTGATCCTTGGTAATGGACAGAGATTTTGCCTGATAGGGGCAAAATGAAAATCCTAACCTGCACAGTTTGCAGCCACTACACAAGCCATATAGCCTTAAATCCTCAGGCTAATAAGCCCCTGTCCCACACCACCCTAAATGTGGTAAAACAGGCAGTAAATGCAGAACACAGAACAGGTGTTCTCAGTCGTTTTACACTTGTTGAGCTTTTGAGGAGGAGATCAGAGCACCTATGGATCTGTCCGGAGTGCTGTGATGATAATCCTTTCTAATCACTAATATTAATCCTTTCACTGCTGAGAACTGAGCTGGAGAGACCACCCTCTTAACAGTGAAGTTCACTACCCACTTTGTCACTTTAGATTGTTTAGTTTTAATGAACACAAGATAATTATAATCTGAGGATGTTGTTGACTTATAGTTGCCACCTCCATGCCTTTTCAGATGACAGTTATGAACTGAGTTATCTTTACGACACTCCAAACATGTCCATAGATACTCAGATTCCCTGTTCAACATACACATCAGCGTTCATGGTAATTATGCCAGTGCTATGCTGCTTAACAAGACTTCTTGTATGTCTGAGGGCCTTTCATGCTTGGTTGTGCTGATCTTTGCTCCCAATTCTAGCATTTTTAGCAGTGATGTTGACATGCTGCTAGTCCAGGATTACAGCAATGTAGCTTTGCACCACTTGGTGGTGACCAATGTATGACAAGCTAGATACTGTGAGGGCACTTTGGGAATGAGTGAACAGTGCTAAGGCACAGATAGATCATTATGGTGTGAGGAGAACGGCGGTGTGAGGAGAACGGCGCTGCGAGGAGTTACCAGGGGATCTGGCCGATTCTCAACACTCAGGGCAAGGATGATATACTATCAGACGGTTACTGGTGCCATGGGAATTGGAACTCTTTGCTTGCTGCTGGCGATGGGGACTGAGCACTTATGGGAGTGTCCCGAGTGATGTGATGTGGATTCTTAATTCAACATCCAAAATATAGTTTTTAAATAATGTAATGGATCTATTCTCAAATGCTGCAAAGCTGTTATTATTGTATTCTTTTACAAAAAAAGGACTGCAGGTTATACTAAGCTGGTGTAGCAGTTACAGTTGCCCTAATTATAACTTCTTTAGAGGTTGAACAGGGTATTTGAGATCTGCCCTGTTAGTCTGCCAGCCAGACTGAGATTTGGTAATCTCAGGGTGTCAGACTTTTAGTTCATAGCCAGAAGGGGAAAAACAGAATAGAATGAAACCTAGAAATGCTCTTCTTATGTGAAAGTAAAAAAACAAACAAATAAGGTCCCCTTTTCCAACCAGTGTGATGTCAAGCATATGTTGCTAGTCCCATATTTTTTATCAACCAGTCAGCACCCAATGCATCATGTAGATATCATGTCATTTAACTTATCTTTCCAGCACATTTTTGGGTGCTCATTGTAGAGTGTGTCAAACTGCGAACAAAGGTCAATTATAATGAAAAAATATACGATCAAACTCTAAACCTTCAGGCAAGCAGAAATGCATGCTTGTCTCAGATTATTTAAAAAGCAATCAATGAACAATATATATTCATACTTAATAAGCTCATGGGCCATCGTTTCAACATAATGACTGCTTTGCTGTCGCACAAGTGAGTTTCCATAGATTTCCAAAAATAACTCTGTTTTATCTAGGAAACAAACAAAAATAAAAACTTTCTTTAAACAAAATTGTTTTTCAACTACATAAAAGTATCTTATTAATAGACGAATTATAAATTAATAAATAAACATGCTGTCATTCGAGAAATGAAACAAAAAAAGTATATTAACAAATTTATGCAGTCAAAGTGAACACATACATTGTTTCTTTCATTTAGCACATAATAATTAAAAATAAAGGATTGTAAACTCCCTAAGAACTTCTCTATGGTGAATTACAGATAGACATGTCGGGGTCTGCTTCTACTATGATAAAACCTGTAAGTGGGCCATGAATGATACAGATATTGAGGTGGTTTCATGGGAACAGGATACCATGAACCATGCTGCATGGAGGGGGGTGAAATCAGAAAGAGAAGATGGATAGATGAGAGAAATGACTGCAGAGATATTAAGAGCTGACCCTCTGAAAAGAAGCATGTTAATTACTTGTGATGGCCACAATGGTCCTGAAATCCCCAACTCTAACTGTGGAAGACTTTTTGTAACAGGCTTGCCAGGCAAACTCGGCATCACCATGGGCTGACTCTGATGCCTCCCTGTAGTCAAAGGTTAAAGTTAAGAGGATTAACTTCATTGTACCAGGTCTGATCCCATATGGCTTAGTCTTTATCCGCTAGCCACTTGCCAAGAGCATCGCATAGAGCATGAATTCCACAGCTCCAGCAACGATCCTCAAGGATCTCCGTAAAAATTGCACTCGTGAACCGTATGTCTAAGCCATGAAACGAACCCAGGAAATTCAGAGCATGATGCAAACAGCTTGACCACTTCACCATGGAGACCCCCCGTCTCCCTATGCCTCCGTGAAGCACAATATAACACTATCATCTGGAAAGACGGAAAGGTATGAACCAGTCAAGAACAGAGAACACTGCTGAGTGACTAGACTGTTAAGAACATTCATTGTCATCACCACGTAGCTAATTATCTGCAAAATGTTGCTTGCGCCAAGTCTCACCAGTAAAGGGTCTCTGCAGCAAAAAGATCAAGCCGTTTGCCTTGCGCTCTGAAGGTCAAGGGGTTGGTTTCACGACTGCATCATTTGGTTCACTAGACTAGTGCAATTTTATGTAGATCCCTTGGGATCTTCACCAACACCTATGGAGTTTGTGCTTTGTGTGGTGCTCTCAGCAGATGCCTAACCATTCTGCAGAGAGAGATCAAGCCAAACTGAATAAAACCCAGCACCATAAAGTAAATCATCTCACCTTTAACCTTTCAACCAGTAAGATTTTTGGTTCTTTGCCAATTCTCTTGCATTATGTATTTTCATGCCAAAATATCAACAATATTCTGTGTCTTTCTTCTTCATCCTAGCTGAGCCTGTGCCTCCAGTTAAAACCAGAAACCATGCCATCCAGTTAAAACCTTTCTAAATTACTGTAGCCTTTAACCCTTTTGCCTCACAAATGCTAACAAAAATATGGGTTATAACTCCCGGAAAAAAATCTTTAAAAAGCAACCCATTTATACAGATGACTATTACAAGTTTTTTTGTTTTTTTTTTAGTATGAATCTTCTATTGTTAAAAAAAAAATGTTGTGGAATATATGAAGATATATGTTGTTTGTTTTAGTATCCAGAAGCCATGAGTTGTTAACCCTTAGGCTCGGTATTATGGATATTGCAACCTTTTGGCCTTGATTCCATTGTAAATACTGTAAATCTGGGAGAAATGTGGCTTTTCTGCCTACCCCCGGGAGTGAACCCAGACCACAAGGAGTTCGTCACCGGGTCACCACGCAATCCGGTTTAGCCAACTACGCTAGAGAGCCGGGTATGAAGATATATAAAAGGGGTAATCAGTAAAAATGAACAGTGGAGCATCAAATGGAACACATTACCCAGGGCCTAAAAAAGACTAAACAATATGTATTGCGTTACTCATGCCATGACTCAATTATCCTTATCACTGAGGCTTACAGGAACAGTTGACATCAACTTTGTTTTGTTTTTTAAAGCCATAGGATCATATGGAAACCCCCTCTACATGCTTTTTTTAGTTACTATATTCATATCATGGTGAATTAAACACTGTGCAGAAACACATTAGAACCAACTGAATTTAAATAAGCTTTTCAAGAACAGGTCACTGCAGAAATGGCCATATATCAGCATTTTTAAGGAGATGTCACAACCAGAAGTGACTAGGTTTAGCCTTCTTGGGAAAATATGGTTATTATGGTCAAATTATTATTTCCCCATCATAAAGCTGTTTATGAGAAATGTTCTTCAATGTCTTGTAGAATGTCAGAATGTTTCTATATCTTAGTGTTCTAAGATTTTTTTTTTTTGGTAACTCTACTAACTGTTACCATTACCATGAGAAGTTAATAACAGTGTCTCCTATCTTGACTTCAATGACCACATAGACAAGGTTAGCCAGGCTTCATTCCCAGGTTATGTAACCAGGTTAGCATCTGAGACTTGACATTATTCACCAGTATAGTCTGTACAACACTGACTGTATCAGCCCTGTCTATGCTTTTTCCTAATTGCATTAGTGCTTTAACTCTTTGAGTCCCAAACAACGCATGATAAGTGAATCCCTCTATCTGCTGAATCCCCTCATTATTCTATTATGTTCTGTTACTTTTTGTATTTGGTAAGAATACACATAAGACATCTGGCTTGTCCAGTGGTCACTACTACTACTATATTAGCGCTCTCAAAGTAATGCACTGATAAATTTTAATCACATATATTTCTTTACTGGTATCTCCTACTTAACCTTCCTCTGGTACTGATAGAGTTAACTGATAGTTTGTCATCTCATTCATTAACTTTTACATATACATTGACTATCTTAATATATAAAGAAAATTACACAAGGAAAAAAGAAAAAGAATCATTCGCTATATACATACATCATCGTAAACATTAATAGGTCAGCACCAACTTACCCTGTAATCCCATATTCTTCTGAAGTTCAAGAGCTATCATCATCAACAGCATATCTCGTGCATACAGTTCCAAAGCTGATTCAATGACATAAAACTGGGAAAGAATTATAGTAACAGGCCAGTTGAGATCACTACTACAAAGATGCACAATTAATATATATGTTGTTGTGTTATTTAGCCTTATTAAGAGTTATGGCTATGGAGTGGCTAGATTACCACCTACCATGGGTATGAATGTAAAGGATATTCGCGTGTCTAAGGTCAAAAGCGTGCTGATAGACTGGCTGCTGCCACTCCTCTGGATGTTTAGCTACATTATGATAAAGCAGTGAAGGATCAAGTGGACACAGCAACTAAATAGACTGAGTATCCATACACTGACAGGCTAATTCAGCTGGGGTGAGCAGTGTCTGGAAGATATTCAACACAGGTGGACTTTTAATCAAATTGCAACAGGTACTCTTAGCATACTAACTAACTCTTTAATGGCTCTTGAGAAAGGAGACGGAGCAGGTGTGGTAATATACTAAGTGCAAGGATATCAATTCTTTATTCATTCATTCATTCATAAAGAAAAATATTAAACCAGCACAGAACTGGTGTCTTCAGCTGCGACATGCATAGAATTTTATAGGAGAGAATCTGGTACACTTGTGGACTGAATGGTTCGATGTGCAATGAGTATGATCTGTAGATTAATTAAATGGAGTTAATACCTTGATTTTCTTCTGTCCATGTCTGTATCTTCGTGCGACTGTTTTCAGTATATGCCGAATATCTCCAGCCCCAACAAGCAGAATATGAATTTCATCTAGAATTAATAGTAAATGAAAATAAATATCTCTAATGAATTCTCTTATATACTTAAAAATTTCACTAACATAGTGACAGAAAGCAGTCTTTCCCGAATCAGCAAATAATATGGCCTTAACTAGATTATAAATATATGTATTTATAGTGTAATATTCAAACTGTATTAGTTGATACCATTGATATGCTTGTTATGTGCATGCAGAGGAAATTAATACGTAGTGCAAGTTAACTTTTGGTTAACGACCTAGATGATAGCAACTGTTGTTGAGATAAGTTGAGGAAGGAGACAGGCTGATTAACAAGATGAAGTAAGTATGCAAGTCAAGGACTCTTTTCATGCCTTTGGTGCATCAGGCTTATAGTGCTAGACTTTCATTTTAAAGACCACATTGGCGCTCAGTTAGTCAACATCACTCTGGCCACCTTTACCTCCAAAGACATTACTTTGCACCTATCTTAATCTGGGTCAAAAAGAGGCCAAGGTCAATTGTAAAAAATGTGCTTCAATGCGGATTCAAACCCTAGACCTTCTAGCTGGATGATGAGCATCTAACCAATATGTTAATGTGGCTCCTAATCAGACGAAAATGAGCCTTATATTTTAAGAGCATCTAGACAGACATGTGGAGCCACCATGGTCTAGCGACTAGATGCTCACCTGCGAATTGGAAGGTTGTGGGTTCGGTTCCTGACGGAGGCCTGAATTTTTTCAAAACTGACTTCTGCTCCCAGGTCGACCCAGCCATGAGTGGGTACCAGGTACAGTCCAGAGAAGTAAAGGTGGCTGGCATAATGCTGACCACATCACCCACCAAAGTGCTGTTTGGTCTTTAAAATATAGGTCTAGCCCTCTATACCCAATACACCTGAAAGGCATGAAAAGAAGTCCTTTAGACTAACACGTGGATAAACTTTATAAGATTACAGAGAATTCTTATTTTACTTCTTCACGTTCCTTGGCTGAAAACTCCAGCGAAAAGTTATAGTTGTTCATCCACTTCTGGGCTTTAGTCGTGTTCCAGTTCTTGAGTTTTGCATGTTCTTCCCTTTTATAGATCTGGCTTATTTGTATGCATACTTCTGGTTTCTCACCTATCAGTCAGATGCACTCTAACTTTGAAGGAATCACTCCTGATTAGTTGACTTTTATGACATGCTTGATAGGAAAACACTGGGTCTATTTTTTTTTTTTTTTTTTTTGTTGTTGTTGTAAAAATGGGGTTCCAGAAAGCCACAATGGGAGGAAGAACATAATTTATAGGAGTCATATGTGTGTTACTAGCACCTATGAAAAAGCAAAGAATATGTTAACTGTATTCTACCATGCATGTCAAAAGAAGTTCATATTAGAAACACAAATCACAGACAGCAAATTTTAGGAAAAGACAAAGTAGAAGATAATTTATGTATAATTTAGTATTTGCTTAAGTGTTTAATTTTTGCATTTTTTAATTATTTATCATGTGTAAGTATTCTTACCTCTTATGATCTATAAGGCTGCAAACAAAACCAGAAGAGACAAAGCAAAAAATGACAAGATTATAAAAACTATTTAGTAACAACACTGATCATTAGGCTCATTAAAAAACAAAGACTGAAATGGTTCTGCCACCTAATAAGAATGAATTTAATTAGGTTGGCAGTGATAGAGTTCAACATAAAAACTAAAACAATCAGATGCAGAACAAGACTCTGAAGACAACCTAAGACTTCACAACATCATAGCATGCCAAGCAATTCAATGCGCTCTTGCTTGGCTACCAATCATCTGTTAATCTGGGATGTCTAGTGACATAAAGCAGAAACTGACAAAAAAGGAAAAGAATCTATTCTTACCTGGTACTGCACACATTAATTTGTCACACACAGGCTCAAGACCTGGAAAGAGGTTAAAAAATAAAGCATAAAATGTATATTTAGTGTATATGCTTCTTTGTGATTTAAAAATGTTGAATATCTAGATTTCAATAAAAGGGCTGTCAGATAAACTAAAAATAAAAATGAAAGGTAATTCTTCTTCTTCTAAAATGAGGACATGAGACTCATACTCAGCTGCACAAAAGACACCTTGTTCCACGCCATGCGATACAAGCGATATCTCTTGGTTTTTTAAAGCAGCAATTTTTTTATTGGAAGGATAGCAAGCTGGCAGGCTTGCTGTGAAAAGCAGATGTACAACAGACCAGGCTGATATACTGAATGTCCTCAGACAAGCAGGACAATTAAATGAACCTAGTAATGACTGCCAAAAAAATCACTGCCAAAAGAGAGTACTAAAATGTTATGTAGAATCTATATTTCTATACGGTAGTGAACCATGGAATGTGAATACACAAATTCGAAAGAACTTGGAGGCGATGGAGATGTGGTTTTTTAGATGATAATAAAAATCCCTTGGCCTGCCAGAATAACTAACGAGGATTGCTTCAAGGAAGCTAATGAAAGCAGATTAATATATACATCTATAAGGAAAATCCAAGCACTGATGTTTGCTCACTCATGTGATGAGTGGGGAGGTTTTGGAGAACATTGTGATGACTGGGAAGATTAACGGTAGAAGAGCGAGAAGCAAACTGAGAGAAATGATGATGGATGGACTGTGACGGTGGCATGGAGGGATATCATCAGTGAAACTGATCCAGAGGACAAGAGACAGAGATCTATGGAAATACATGAACGCCTATGACAGTAGGCAGGGCACGTGATGATGATAAGTAATGACTGAATCAGCAGCCTTGACCAGAGTTACAAGAACAGGATATCAAAAAGCACTATGCAGGAAGCCAAACAAGAATAGAAAACCAACATAAAACTGATGTCGCCAGTCACTACAATTAATCTAGTCTTGAGAGATATTCTAAGGGTGAGATCAACGTGCTTCTAGTTTGAACAGTATGAAATGAAATGAGGATAACTAAATATCAGTGCACATTATTGCACACATTTTAATATGAGTTTACAGCTATGCATACAAAACAAATGCCATCAACACAGTCTGCAATTCAGCAACCATGCTTTTAAAACTCTTTTATTAATGAATTTACTAGAAAAATCAACACCAATTAATGTATCTGCTAGTAAATGATGTGAACACTTTAGTCAGGTATTGGTAGATTTCATGTTTTCAGCCTCTTCTATATTTTCATAATTTTTGAAATATTATAAACATTTCATTGTTGGTTGCATATCCTTTACATGGCAGTAGAAACCATTTGCAGCATTTGTTGGTTTTACTAGGCAATGTTTACATTCAGTAAAAGTAAAAGTTAACGTTGAAAGGATCCACTTCATTGCACCGGGTTTTTCCCATATGGCTCAGTCTCTCTCTGCAGAACAGCTAGCTGTCTGCTGAGAGCATCATACAGAGCACAACCTCCATAGCTCCAGCAATAAACCTCGTTGATATTTGTAAAAACCACACTCATGAACTGAGCGGCACCACCGTGAAACAAACCCATCATCTACACAGATGGATCCTTGAAGAGCAGATCAAGGTCAGCATGGGCATACACAGCTCAAAGAAGGGGGAAAACAATACAGGAGGACATGGGCACTTACCAGATAACCATGTCAAGCATGACCATGGACAAATTGCCGCTGCTTCTAGAGCTTTAGCATAGGTATCCGAGCAAACCGCCAACAAAGGCAGTTATTGTATCAGACTCCATGAATATGCTTCAGAAGATAGCAACAGGGGGTATGTGCTCTGAATGGGTAGAAAGCTTTCAAAAATCGAACTTAACCTCCGTAACTGGGATCTACACACCGGGTCATGCGGATGTAAAGGGAAATGAGCAAGTGGATCAACTGGCAAGCACTGTACTAAGGATTGCGGGAAAAAGCATGGACAGAGCAGATATCATCAACGATGTACGGCCTGGGCTAGTGGATAATCAGGAATCCCTGACACTGGCACGATTGCATGACATGGGAGTAAAGCATGATGAAGCACATCTTTGCCAACTTCGAGGCAGAGATAGGAGACAATATAACCAGCTTCTCATGGGAACAATTAGTAGAAGTATTTTGGAGTGGCTGCTGCATCGGAGGACTGAACACGCATGGGAATACCCAAAGTGCAGTGATGTTGATTGTGATAACAGAAAATAACATAACATTTTGTAGGGAGATGGCAGTCCGAAACCCAAGTTCAAGGTATCTCCTTCATGCCAAAGAACTGCATGGCTGTTGGGTGAACAGTCGTTATTGAAGGCAGTCAGATCATTGGAGGGGCGACGCTTGCTGGTGGATGTAATATCCTAAGTCCCTTCCCCAGCTAATCGTAAGGGTACTGCTAGGGTGACCTTTCATTAACCATCACATAATGCTTCAGGTCAAAATAGGCGTTAGGCACGACCACTTCTTTTAGCCATGGCAAATTTGTTTATTTCTGCCAGAGGGTGGCCATTGCATTTTTGCTCCATTTGTAGACTAGAAGGATATAGTTTTGTTGCCCAGCTTCAGAGTTGAGTGCATGGCGTGATACTGTGAGCTGCGGATTTCATTTGAACTGTGATAAAAATATTGTGTGTTTTTCGTTGGCACAGGAGCGGAGCAACTATGGGATGACCCGTTTGCTATGAAGCTGAAACTAAGATTAGCAGATTACCAAACCTATGACCTTCAGAGCATGAGGCAAACGGCTTGACCACTTCACATGGATTCACCAGATTCAGTAATCTGTCATTGCTTTCTGAATGGTTCTGTGCTTATAACATTGTCTAAATAAAAAATTTAAAAAGTAGTATGATGTCAATCATCTGCAACTTAATCAAACCTAGCAGGCTGTAATGTTGAAATTTGTTCAACTCTTTCAATCCAAGGGAGTTAAGTATCAGAGACCAAAGGGGTAGTAACGAGAGATGTAAAATCAGCATTTATTAGGCTTCTATGTAGGAACCTATGAACACACAAAATGCGTTCCTTGGGACTGAAAGAGTTAATATAACCCTAAGGCCTAAGCCATGGACAACAACACTACGTTACAATTAATATAGTTTTGGAATAGCTTTAATCATTCATAGAAAAAATATTTTAATATTTATGGAAGATGGAGATTACTAAATTACCTGTGAACCCAGAGGTTCTGTATAAACATTAAAGATGGATTTTAATTTAAAATGCAGGAAGAGAAGGGCTGGTGCTAAAGTGAGAAAAATTTTTGAGCAGGATGTGAGCAGTGATAAGAGTAACATTCTGCAAAGATATGTAATTTTTTATTACGTTTCAGTGCTTGCTATAAAAAACCTGGCAACCCAATTATTTCAAGATAACAGATAAACCATTGAACATGTGAGTAAAGTCAGCTTGTAATAATAATTATGGTTATAAAAATGACCAAGGATGTTAAAAATGTGACCAATCTTATTTTTTTTAAACCAGGTCGGCCTCCCAAATGCCCAGTCCGGCTGCCCGACAACCCGAAGGATATTATGTGACAGATCTTGGTGCACTGGAAATAACTAATATCCGGCACTTCTTACAAAAGTGACACTAGGGTAGGTAGGTAGTTGTACTCCACTAGGACGTCACACAAGCGAAAAACATCTGGGGACACAAAGTGACACCATGCAGATGAGGAACACCCGTGGAGAGGTCCCAGAAACCCCTTTCAGCCATTAGTCCATATTTATGGTCCAACTATATTTAGGGCCCCCAGGCAGAAGCCAGGTGGGGCTCCAAATAACAAAAAATTTCACCCCACATGAGAATAACTTTTTATTACCCTAGGGTACACAATCAACTGTCAGTTAACATTACTGTAAGTGCCAACCCTTGGGGCGATAATCCAGTGTTTGTTCAAGTCCACATAATATTACTATTTTTCTCATATTTAATAATACTGTTTGAGATTAGGGTTAGAGTAAGGGCTAACCCTAACCCAAGCACTACCCCTAACCCTCACGTGAAGCAATATTAAATATTAAATAACATTATGTAAACGTTTACAAACAATGGATTGTCTCCCGTATCATCGCTGTAAACAACAACTGATTATGTCCCCCATGGTAGCCGTTGCAAGGAGTTTCAAATATCCTGCAAGGTAGAATAAAGGTGAGAGGATCAACTTCATTGACCGGCTTTTATACCCTTTGGCATAGCAGTCTCTCTTCGCAGAATAGCTAGCTGTCTGCCGAGAGCATCACATAGAGTATGATGGAGCACGACTCCGTAGCTCGGGCGACAATCCCAATGGATCTCCGTAAAATTGCACTCGTAAAAGCCACCGTGAAACGAACCTACGACTTTCAGAGTGCAAGGAAAACGGTTTGACCACTTCGCTACGGAGACCACCTCAGACCTCAGACCTGAATAATATCCGTCAATAAAACTAAAAACGTATTGTGTAAAATCTGATTACCAATCGCTTGTAAATCAAGAGCTGGGCTAAAACCCCACCAATTAATATTTCCATAACCATCTGTCATATTGCAACTGTTTTATATCCTTTTAATGCCTTTTTCCTCTTCAAAACAACCAGCTTAGTTCAAGCTCTGTTTGCGACTCCGTCAGAATTGAGTGTCAGCGACATGTGTAAACATGCTAGTATTGCATAGAATATCTAAGCAACAGTTAAATATTAAATTTAATTATCACTATATAAATTTAACTACTGCTGCTTTAAAATAGGCACAAACATTTGATTTAGGGACAATAAAAAAGATCTGTTTAAATTTAGTTTTAACAGTTATAATATCTAGCTGTTTTTTTATTTTTTTATGTTTGTTTTGCTGCAGGATTAAAATATGTCTGCGCCCATTTGGAACAGACATTCACTTCAAAATAGAAAAACAGTTTTCAGTGTACTCGGTTGTAAAAAGTATATCTGTTTATAAGAATTGCCCCGTGATATCTCCTTGTGGTAGGTGTTTTTGAAACATGTTTGTGTTCATGGGGAGGAAAAAAGCCACTTAACAATTTTATTCTATGATTCTCTTGGAGTTGGTCAGTTGACAGGACTGGCAAAAATTAGAGCTCTCCTTTCAACTACGGCCGGTTAGTCGGAGTTCTGTCCCCTGGCTGAAGTACGATACGGACTGGAGAAGGCACGAATCAGAAAACACATTGAGGTCCACATGTCAGGCAGACTCCGCGCTGCGACTCAAATTAGCGACGCATTACGGGGTGGAATAGAGGGAACGAAACAAGTGACATAATTACTGTGTGTTGGCGATAGACAGCATGCAGTGCCCTACTGTCATCATACTAGATACTTTAGTCAAATCTTTAAAATGCCCTCTACACCAATAAAACCAGCACAGTTAGATAGCTGTAAACAATCTCTTTCCAATGGTACCTCATTTAGGCTTGTATGTCATTTCTGAGCTGAGATATGTAGGTTTTTGTGGAGATGAGATGTAGAAAGCAGCTGCTAAAACTTGCGTCTTAGAAACAAGGTTTTCTCTGCGCAACCAAACTGCGCACTTATCGTTTTGGCTTTGTTTACATTGGACTGTCATTGGACAAGATGGCAGACAATGAGACACAGCCACTGGCTGAGCCAGCGATTGCCTGAAAAATGTCACTGTATATCTACCTAGCCACTGTTCAGAAAGAAATTTTATACACAAATGTAAAATTGGATGGAGAATTCAATTATAACTAGCATTACCAGGACCAGTAACAGTTAAAGCCTAAAGCTAACCCTGAATACTAATCGCTATTTTCAATCAAACTGATGTAACAGAAAAACAGAGGACGTCCGGCTGTTGTACACATGCGCTGTTAATTGGGTTCCTTCCCGCCGTTTTCAGCTTTTTATAGTGGGTGAAAATCACACCAATCGCAAAATTTCATGAGAGATTAGGACCCATCCCGAAACCCCAGCCGACATTTGCGAAGCAAGTTTCAAACGATTTCCATGGTAACGGAAATTGCCAAAAGACCGCCAATTGCCGAACACCGTAGTCGCTACATCATACGGTTTGGGTTAGGGGTAGGGTTTGGGTTGCTACTATGAGTTTGTGCGAAGACGAGATGCGGCGACACTAACCGTAACCCTAACCCACACCCTAACCCTAACCTACACCCTACCCCTAACCCAAACCGTAACCGTATGATTATAGCAGGGCAGTGCCCGCTGTCTATCGCCAACACACAGTAATTATGTCATTTGTTTTGTTCCCTCCTTTCCACTCCATAAGTGCACTGCAGCAAGGGGACAGAACTCTGAATAACCGGCCGTCTACTGTTGTCTACCGGCCGTAGTTTAAAGGAGAGCCAAAATTAGTTGTTTTTTTTCCTTTTTAAAAGTTAGTTTTCCCTCTTTTTTTTTGGCAGTGTACGACTACGAGACGTTACCCGTTTCTAGAGATTTTCAGTGGTTTTTAAGAATGAATAATGAACGCCCTGTCAAAATAGTTGAGCTCATAATTGCTCCGTCTTTGTTTGGAAATGCTATTAGGTGTAGATGTAATGTTTGTCATTCCTAATAATCTGATTATTTATGATGGTTTAAGGGCAGATTAACATCATGGCACATGAATCAAGCCTGAGTCTGAAAGATCTCCGCACAGAGCATGAACTCCATAGCACCAGCAAGGATCTTGAAATACTCTTTTTTGATTTTCAACTGCCAATGGATATTTACGTGCGCAACAATATACATGGGCGTCCGATCTTACTACCCAGAGACCAGGTTAAAAATAACAGAATTCCACGTGAAATAATCCTAGCCTTCACCAGGGCTTGAATCCGGGACCTTCACCACTCGAGGGGGACGCCATGCCTCGAGATCACACAGCCCCACTGATTATTCATGATATTGAAACATACTAATGATAGTAAACACTGTGCAGAATGTGTTTTGACTGTTCCCACCTAGTTGGAACCACACTCAAACAGCTAGCATTACGTTTTTCATCATTTCTGCACAGTATTTTTTTTTAGTTATGCTAAGCCATGATGATTGAGTTTGTTGAACTAATACTAGTCTTAAAGAAGGTATCCAGTACGACCTCCATTGATCCAGCGATGATGAATCATATTTTGTTTTGTTATCACACTCAACATCTTGCACATTGGGCGTCCCTATGCATGCTCAGTCCTTTGATGCAGCAGCCACTCCAAGGTACCTCTACTGATTGTTCCCATGAGGAGTTGGTTATAGTATCTCCTGTCTTTACCTCGTAAACAACATAGATATGTTTCACCAAGCTTACCTCTCGGTCACGCAATTGTTTTAGCGTCAAAGATTCACTGCTGTCCCCAAACCTAGTCAGTACAGCATTGGTGATATCAGCTGTGTTCAAGCTTCTTCCTGTTTGCATTGGTGTTTTACTTGCCAGCTGGCCCGCTCTTTTATTACCATGTACTTCTGCATACCCAGGTGTGTAGCTCTAGATAATGGAGGTTAACTGCAACTTTCCAATGCTTTCTACCCATTCATAGCGTAGACCCCGTGTAGCGATTTTCTGAATCATGATCATAGAGTCTGAAATGATTACCGCATATGTGGTCGCTTGTTCTGCTTCCCATGCAAGTGCTCTGTGAGCAGCAGTTATCCCCATGGTCATGCTTGACATAGTTTTTTAAGCACCGCTGTCCTTTTTTATTATTTTCCCCCATTCTTTTTGCTGTGTATGCCCATGCCAATTTTGATCTGCATTACAATGGAATGGGTCCCATGAATCCGGAGGATGCAGGTGCTGAGAGTCATGACATTTTTCCTAGGCCATGTAGGCCTAGAAAATGAACAGGCAGTAAGGTTGGCTGGACTTCACGCACTTGAGGGTGTCCTGCAACTGCACAAGGCAGAGGTGATCTGTCGCTTGTGGGACAAGGTAACAAGTAAAATGGAAAATTTTGGAAACCCATACCTGGAGAGAATGATGTAGTGGGGTCTGTCTGTGGGCTCTGGGTGCCACTCAAGACTTTAAGGGAAAGGCAAGACAAGTAGTTAACCAGATGACAACAGGTACCATCTGTATGGAAAATCTGCTAGCTATTGAGGAGGAAGAAGAAGCTAATACAGGCTTGTCCTGAATGCTGTGATGTCTTATCTTGACCCAGATGCCCTTAAAGCCAACAAATCAACTAAACCACAGAGCTCTTTTTTTTTGTGGCAATTTTTTTCTGGCAACTGGCGTTCTTATTGGGGGGCATAATTTTTTTTTTTCAAGCTTTGTTGTAATAAAAACTTTGTAATGAGTACTGGCACCTTTTTAGACACTTTGTTGTGATTACTGGCTTCTTTGTTATTGGAAGAAGAAAAATCCACGATCATTACAAATTGCAAATTAAAGCATGTTGATTAAGTCTTTATAAAATATTATTCTTTATTTTTTATATCTCCCCGCATGCGTTTAGGGGCCTCAGTGAAAGGGGGGGGGGGGGGTAGATCCAGTTCCTTCGAATAAGCATGTCATAAAAGGTGATTAATTATGGATTTTCTTAAATCTGATTATAGGGCTGAAGGTGCAGATATCACAGCCTAGTTATAAAGTACAAAACAATGTGCTAACTGCCCTTTTAAGGACAAATGCGAAAGAAGATTCTTGATACCCACCTGTCAAAAATCAACCAACTGCCGTCAAGGCAAATGGCTCATTGGCAGCTCCATGACAGAAACGTCCATCTTTAAACACAACTAACCAGCACCATCAGAGCATACATATCAGTCTTTAATATAACTTAACAACTAGCAGACTGTTGGTTCCTAGCCTCTCAGGCAGAGGCACTCTGACTTTGAAGGAAAATATTAATGTAAAACATGCTTACTTACAAAAATTATTTAAGTTTTGTGTTTTTTTTAACTGTTAATTAATAAATAAGGTTAGACAAACACCAAGTGATGAAAGAAGAGCATCCCACATACCTTGGAGTCATACTTGACCGGCAGCTCAGCCTCAAGAACCATATTGAAAACATCAGGAATAAGGCATTGAGGCGGTTACAGTTATTAAAGAGACTTGCAGGCACATCATGGGGATCAGACAAGGAAACTCTGAGGGGCTTATATCTAGGATATGTTCGCTCTGTGATAGAGTACAACAACTCACTGCTTACAACTTGCTCCAAAACTAACCTAGAGACTCTTGACAGAGTACAAAATAATGCCCTCCGATTAATCTGCGGAGCTATGCAGTCTACACCAACTGCTGCATGTGAAATCCATACAAATGTGGAACCCCTCGGGCTGCAGAGAGAAAAAGCCACTTTAGAAATTTATGAAAGATGCGTTAGGAAAAATCGTAACCATCCTAATAGACATCTCATAGAAAACTGGGAATACAAACAAAGAATAAAGCACAAATCGGTTTTACACTGTGTTAATGAAATTCAGGACAGATACCACCTTCCAGAAAGACGTCAAGGAATTCAGAATGTTGCAAGAAACCTACCACCACATGCTCACTTTAAAGCTCCAGAAGTCCGAACTAAATTGGTAGGCGAGGAAACCAAACAGTCCGACCCAATCGCTCTTATGAACTCATCACTAAAGACCGTTGATTCTTACCCCCAAGAATGGATACATGTCTATACTGATGGATCAGCATTTAAAGCTACCATTAAAGCAGGTTACGGAATCTACATAGGTTATCCCGATGGATCTGTTGAAGAGATTTTTGATGCATGCGGGGAATTCTGTTCAAACTATGAAGCTGAAATAATTGCACTGGAAACAGCAGTATACCACCTAAAGACTGTAATGGATGTTTACCCTTCAAAGGTCCAAAATATTGTCATCTTCACAGATTCAGTGTCTGCCCTTCAAGCTCTGGAGGGCAGTGAACGCTGCAGAACTGACATAGCCAAGATAATCCTGGATGCTGATCAGCTTATTACCTCATACAACATCAGAATAGTGATGCAGTGGATTCCAGGACACTCCGGCACACCAGGTAATGACACAGCTGACAGATTGGCAAAGAAAGGAGCAACACAAGAACAACCACCTACAGCGACAACCCTCCAGACAGCAAAAACACTGATAAGAGCTATAAACAAAGAGACTTGGTTGAACAGATGGGCCATGGGAGACAATGGAAGAGAGGTTTATAGACATATGTCTGGCCCTGATCCTAATGACAGCATTAACCATCTAACAAGAAGGGACCAGGCCACCATCTTCAGACTTAGAACGCAACATACTCCACTCAATGGGCACCTAAACAGAATACAGCCACAACACTCCCCAGAGTGCCAGTTATGTAACTACCCCTACGAAACTGTTGAACACCATATCTTTGAGTGCCCAAAACTCAGTGAGACAAGAAGAACGCTACTCCCTCCGAGACCAGACAAGTGGAACACCTTGTACGGAGGAAAAGAACAGCTTGTGAAAACATGCAAATTCCACTACATGGCATTGGGCCAAAGGGCGAAAGCTCATGCGCCGCTGGATCGATAACAACAACAACAACAATAAGTAATCACACAAATGGGAAAAGGTCAACCTGAGATGAAAGAGTCAAAACTTACTGTTTTTAGTTTTAGAAAAAAAAAATGGTTTATAGACGACTGCTTCATGCATTTTGACCCTCTTCCTTACTGAGAAGTATTTTTTTGTAAGAGTCGGGATAATTGAAGTTCTGCTGTATCTTTATTGATTTTCAGTTTTTGTTATCAAGACTCAACTTCCCAACCCTATCAGGATGTCGGACAAACCACTGAAGATGTGAGTACAGTCATTTTATAATAAATACTGTTGTAAGGTTACCATCATCTTGTGCCATTAAGAGTGACTTTGAGCTCACACTGTTCTTCCATTCAATTCTGCCCTGTGCAATCCTTTCAATATCAGGGATGAAATTCAGTTCTTTTTTGGGTTTCTCTTATAAATCCTTGTATCTATGTGTTTTCCACTTCAGTGCCTGTTTGGTGATTCTCTCGTTGTTTCTTGTAAAGTCCTTTCCTGCTAATTTCTTAGTAAATATTTTTTTACAGGGTGGAGAAACAGGCCCCAGACCCAACCCTTCGACTTCCTTATCTAAGCTTGGGATTGGCAGTTTCTGTTGCATTTTATTTGAAAACAGTTCCTTTTAAATAGTGTTGTAAAGTAGTTAGTTATTTAACTAATCTTCCAGAATGGTAGTATGTAGCGAATAATGAGGGTTCTAGGCTTAAGAAATCGATGTCAGAAGTTGAAGAACTGCCTAAGCAGTTTTAGCAGTACATATACACAGATAAGGAAAGAAGACACAATCTTCTTGGAGATAAGCAGTAGATTTACTGCTTTAACATCCAGTCTGCTACCTCTAGTTTTGAAATTCTTGCAACTCAAAGAATTGCCTCCTAGATGTCAGTCCAACAAGGAAAATCTCATCAGCTCTTTTCAGCCTTCTAAGAAGCTAAAGCACCTGCAGTTTCTACAATGAGGACTACCCTGCTGTCCAGGGCAGATAGAAATGCATTAACGCACATGCCCCTAGAAGCACAGAACTGGACGCTTCCAGCTTGTTCCTTAGTCCTATAAATACCATTCCCGGCTTTCTATAAAGGATTGTCTACTTATATATACTTATATAGCTATTTTAATCTCTACAGACTGGTTTCTGGAGATGTCGAAGGAAACTTTGGGCAGTTGTACAAAAGAGTGGAATCTATACAGAAAAAGAGTGGCAACTTTGATGTAAGACTCACAAGTTAGCATTATTTTATTTCATTTTTTTTTAATGCTACTGAAGCTTGTAATTGTCATATAAATACTTCATGTTATACTCCTAATCATACAATCAATGATTTATATGTGTATATTTTCTAGTGAACATTAACTGATGAAAGAGTGGAGGATAACTTGTTGCTGTGATTAAATCCACACACGAGACACATGTACATTCACACAGTCACACATATTAGCATGGCTTCTGTAACCGACTCTAACCCAGACATGAGCAGTCTGTCACAGAAGTCACGCCATCTTGAAACTTCCTACTCCACTCATACACTTGCTGGACTGACAGATGTACATCACCTTCTTCTTCCCGTTCACCAGCTGTAAACTCTGGCAGAAAGTTCTGGTTGTTCATCCACTTTTGGACTGCAGTCCTATTCCAGAACCTGAGTGTTGCGTGTGCATCCGTTATACATACCTGACTCATTTGTATGCAGTTTGCTGGTTCCTTGCCTCTCAGGCAGATGCACCCCAACTTCAAAAGAAGCTCCCAGTTAGTCAAATATTATGACATGCTTTTGAGTAGGCAGTGGGCCTGTTCTTGTTTTTCATGTAGTAGGGCCCGTAACCCACACAGGGAGTGTACCTTACCATACTGGACCTTCTTTCATCCATGAATTTATGTCAGCTTCACCCCTACATTGATTTTTTTAAGGGGGGGTGGGGGGGGTGGGGGGGGGGAGAATAACAAAGGTTGCTCCTCTTTGATGCATGTCAGAAGTGGAGTAGCCATCTTTAAACTGTCATTATGATGTCACTGTATTTATCTGCACTATGAAGTCATATGCTTACACTTTTGACATCCTCAACAACAATATTGATAGATTACAGAACATTGGCATAGTTATTAATTAGCAGTGAGTTTATTTTTTTTTCTCTATTCTCTAATCTTTTCTTAAGCATACTGTGTATTACTTCTCATAGATTTATAAAAATTACTATACCAAGTATATGATTAGAGCACATTCCAGCTTTTGTAATTAAGTCTTAAATGTTGTTGGTGATGTTTATTATTATCTGTTTTAACTCCTTCAGTACCAATGACCTCACCATTGCTGGTTACTCTGTACATCAGGGCTATTTGTATGGTGGCTCAAGGGTTAAATCTGGCCTGCGGAGGCCTTGCAAGTAGCCTGCGGATCACTGGCAGTTGTGTTGTATTTAAAAAGTTTCTATATTGGGGCTCAGGTTTGAGGTTTAAACACCGGATCAACATCACGGCACATGGGTAGTTAGTGCTCCATTCTTCTTTTAACTCAAGTCTGAGTCAGAAAAAGCTCAGGACAGTGTACAGGCTCTGTAGCACCGGCGAGGATCCTGAAATACTTTGGGTAGATTTTTAACTCCAAATTTTAATCAGCAGCGCTGTTAGGCTACTCTTTTTGATCTCCAACTGTCAAGTGATTTTTTTATGTGCACAACAATGCACATGGACGTCTGATCTCACTGCCCAGAGACCAGGGGGAATTACTAAAAGTTCAAGTCCACGTGAAAAAAAATCCCAGCCCTTACCGGGGATTGAACCCAGAACCTCTAGCAATCGAGGCAGACACCATGCCCCCCCCCCCCTCCCCAAGCAGAAACGGAAACGTCTTCAAGCCCCTTGTAGTGAACTCTTTGAAAATAAAGTTTGTTCAGTTGAAATGGGTGCCCAGAACCCATTACCATCAAGTTCCATGGTAAATTATGTGCTTTCCCTGCCCCACTCATTGTGATGAATCACAGATCCAAGCAGTTGCTGACAGTCATAATGAATACCTGATCCTCTTGTCTTCCAGCTTCTGCTGTGCGTAGGGGACTTTTTCAGCCCTAACTTATCCTCATGGGAGCCATATAAATCAGGAAAAGTCAAAGGTAACATGATTTCTTTCATTTTTTCCCCCAAATCTTTAAACTTAGTAGCAGTAATTTGATTTTATGTTAGTTTACTACCATCAGACCACTTTGCACTTTGCATTGCTGTTGAGTTGAGTCAAGAATTGACATCACAGCACTCGAGGCATTCCCATGCATGCACCTTCCTCATCTTCAGCAGCCAGCGCATAGTTCCAAAACTGATGGTACCGGTCACAATCTGGTTATATGTCCGTCTTGCCTTTGATCTGAGTGTAGTGAGCCTCTGGTTACACCCAGGTGCCTCATTCTCTCCAGGCCATAATAATCTACTTTCTCTACTGATTCCTTTGCTTGTTCCCAAAGGGCCTTGACCATATCTGCTCTGTCATGTATCAATTCACCACCCAGTGGTGCAGATCCAGCCAATCTGTCTGCCTGCTCATTACCCACCACGCCGGCCTCACCTGGAGAAAAGATTCAAAGTATGCTCACTACCCGTGACCTTTCCAGTGAAGCTTGCCACTCTGCTCGAAGCATCCCTGTCTTCATTTTTCTCAGCATGCTTTTAGAAAGCAGTCACAAACTACTGAATGTAAAATTGTCAAATAAAACTACAAACAGCTTAGTTTGCAACATTCTATAAAGGAAATGCAACTAACTTTTTGTCGCCATAATTATTTTCATTTTCATTTGTTAATATTTTTAACATTTATTTTTAAATAACAAAGAGGCTTGGAATAAATAGCATTGTTGGGGGAAATAAAAAAAATATGTCTGCCGCATACAATATTCTTATAAAAACCATATACAGGGAATGGTTAAAGGCAACCATGCAATTGAGGAGATCATCTTTTTCTTCATGTTCTCCTACTGTAAACTCTGGCAGAAATTTCTGTTTGTTCTGTAGCTTCTTTACTTTAGTCTTGTTCCAGAATAAGAGTTTTGCATGCACATCTATTTGACAGATCTGGCTTATTTGTATACAGACTGTTGGTTTTTTGTCTCTCGGTCAGATGCACTCGGACTTCGAAGAAAACCCCTTATTAGTTTACTGTTACAGCATGCTTGTTAGGGAGGCAGTGGATTTATACTTTTTTATTTTTTTTATTTTTTTTTTTTATTTCACACACTGGGCCCCTGAACCCACATGGGGAAAGTGGAGAGATGACATCAAGGGATGGATGAATGATAGTATGAGTGAGTATATAACCAGAGCGACTGAGTGTTGAAGATGCATTACAGACGACCTTCATTGTGGAAGGAGGCAGTAGATTTGTATGTTTTATTTTATTTTGTTTCACACACTGGGGCCCCTGAACCCAAATGGGGAAAGTGGATAGATGACATCAAGGGATGGATGAATGATAGTATGAGAGAGTATATAACCAGAGCGACAGAGTGTTGAAGATGCATTACAGACTACCTGTATTGTGGAAGGAGGCAGTAGATTTATATGTTTTATTTTATTTTGTTTCACACTCTGGGGCCCCTGAACCCAAATGGGGAAAGTAGATAGATGACATCAAGGGATGGATGAATGATAGTATGAGAGAGTATATAACCAGAGCGACAGAGTGTTGAAGATGCATTACAGACTACCTGTATTGTGGAAGGAGGCAGTAGATTTATATGTTTTATTTTATTTTGTTTCACACACTGGGGCCCCTGAACCCAAATGGAGAAAGTGGATAGATGACATCAAAGGATGGGTGAATGACTGTCTGATGCATTACAGATGACCTTTATTGTGGAGACGGCACCTGATAGAACACAACAGCGTGGTGATGATAATGATTGTAGTAGTTAGCTAGTCTTTCCTCTTGAGCCTAACGCGGCGCATAGTGCAGAAGTCATAGCTCTCCATGTCTGATGGTTCTTTGCCACTGTTTTAGGTCTTGAATGTTTGTAAGGCACATGTTTGAGCTATCCCTGATGATGGTTCTATGCAGAATGATTGTAGTAGTTTAAATTTTTAAAAGTTCAGTAGTTGTGTTTTTTACTGTTCTTTTTCAATAAAGCAATTCATGTATTCAATTTCAGTTCCAATTTCCACATTGATTTTGGGTCTGTGCAAACCAGAGCTTGCTATTTATTACAGTGGAAGTGAAGGTGCTGAAATGTGCGATGGGATAACATATCTTGGTATGCATTTTGCATTATTGACTTTGTTGTCTTTGAAAATGTGTTGTTGATAGTTTGTACCCATTGTTATCCAAAAAAACTTTTTGTGGAAGCTGGATTAAACAAAGTCTGTGGTTAAGCACCAGCAAGGAAATCACAGTCCAATTTTTGAGAGCATGCATCCTTCCTGTTGGACTGTCTTGCAGTTATAAAGGCAAAAACAGAGGTTTTTGAGATGAAATGCTATAGAAATATTATCAGAATAACATGGACCAAAAGGACAGGAAATACTGACATCCTAAAAGATCTGAACATTGTGAAAGATTAGCTAGTAAACAGCATATTGTCTTCTTGATACATTAAATATTTTGGCTATATCAAGTTCCACATTGAAATGGAAAGTATAATAGCAGAAGGCATGATACTAGGAAAGAGAGCAGAACTATGAAGATAGGCACAGCATATAAGTGACACCTGGAGTAGGAACGTGCACGAGTCACAAGCGCTGCACTGGCTAGAGTACAGATTTCTTTCAGGCAGACTGTGATGAGAGTGGCATTTTACCAAGGACTTGCTACATGATGTTAACCTTTTGATACTTACTTTTTGATACTTACCAGACCCCTGGTCACTGCTGTCTGCACCATTATTTCCATACTGTGATGATCTGTTTGTGCATCTGCACTGTTCACTCACTGCCAAAGGGCCTTGACTACATCTAGCATCATATTACCTTTGTAAACCATTCAGTGCAGTCTGACAAGACAACAAAACCTACGACAACTTTCAGAGCATGAGGCAGAAAGTTTAGCAACTTCATCCCCTTTAAGAAATGCAGAGACTTTTTTTCAGCATGACCAGGACTGAGGAGAGAGGGGTGCAGCCAGCACATTGTTCCAGGGCTGAGGAACTCAAGGGGGTTCATGGAGAGAAAAATTGATTTTTGTATTTGTTAGGCATTCAGTTCTGTATAATCCAGTGGTTAAATTTGTGTCTTAGGATAGTTATTTGTTAAGATGTGCATTTTAAAATTTAATAGGGGGTTGGAGGTTGTTTTCTCAGACACATCCTAGCAATTATCCTCATGTCTGGAATAGTGTATCACAGAAATAATCAGTTGCTGGTAGAGGGTATATAGCACTTTCTGTTCCATGTCTGCTGATGCTATTACACTCAAAGCTTTGATTCCTTTCCCTGTCTTCAGATTTACTTCTTCCACATGGTGTTTGAAAGTCAGGCTGTTGTCAGAAGTGATTCCCAGATATTTTAGTGAATTATCTCTGTTACTGCCGTTTATTGTGATGTTCAGCAACACATCTCTAACAATTCTTTTAACAATTATATTCTTTCTTTCTTTCTTCATTTCAAAGGATGGTTGGCAGTTTGTGTTAGCTTTACAGCTAGGCTGCTATTTCGGTACCTTTTGCCCCAACACATCCGATATTAGCAATCCCCTAATTAGTCTCTTTTTACAGTATGCTTGTTAGAGGTTAAGTGAGTATATTTTGCCCCCAAAATATATTCCAGAACCCCTAAGGAAACTTCTTCTTCTCTTCCTCCCCCCCCCCCCCCCCCCCCCCCCCCCCCCTTTTTTTTTTTCCTGATAGTTTTTTCTTTCTTTCTGTGGTTTTTCTTTCTTTCTTTCTATATTTCTCGTCTTCTTCTTTTTTTTTTTTCTTTTTCTTTGTCTCTCTTCTTCTTCTTCTTCCTCCCCTTTTCTGTTTTTTTTCTTTCTTCTTGTATTAAGAGTTTCTTATCTTTTACTTTTTATATTATCTTTTATTTCTTTGAGGCAGAAATGTATATGTCCTCTTTTTAATACATTTGCAAGTATGTTTGAATGTAATTATTTAACGTATAATTATGACATTGATTTATGTGTCCATGTGTGTGGCTGACTGACTTTCTACCCCACTAGGACATCACACAAGCGATAAACACACGATGACACAAAGTGCCACCATGTGGATGAGGATCGCCGTGGAGAGGTCCCAGAAACCGCGTTCAGACAAATGGCCATATTTATGGCCTGCCTATATTGCGGTCCCTGGCAAAAGCCAGAGTAGGGCTTCAAATAAAGAAAAATTTCATCCTAAAAAGGACGTAAATGATTTTGTAGCATGATATCATGTGTGTGTGTGTGTGTGGGGGGGGGGGGTTTAGGCCCAGCTAGAGGTCTTGTTCCTGGGCCTAAAAATCTTCTCGTCAGCCCTCATCATGACAGTTTAAACATGTAATTATTTAACAGTACACAGTCAACAGCACAGAATGTAAGTGTGTATGTGGTTTGTTATCACAGGAAAACAGGGAAGATTTACTGGTTCATCTGGACTACAAATTGCTTATCTTAGTGGTGTGGAGAGTAAGTCCGGGAAGGGAGACGACTTCTCATTTACTGCTGATGATGCCTATTCACTCATTTCCCCTGTTGTTAATGACACCAACTTCAAAGGAATTGACATTCTAATAACATCACAGTGGCCACAGGATGTTGAAAAATATGCTTCTTCTGCAGTAAGAGTTTATTTTAAATGTGTCCTGTATATTAATGTATTAGCTTTTCTTTGTGTTGTTATACTTCTTCGCATTCACTGGCTGTGATCTCTAGTGAAAAGCTTTGGGTTTTTTTTTTTTTTTTAGTATACAGCATCTATACCTAATCGTCTTCTTGTGAGATGCAATTTTTCGTTTTTTGAAGCCCCAGGGTCGCAATATAGCCTGACCATAAATATGGTGAAATGGCTCGCGGTTTCTGGGACTCCACGGTGATTCTTCTCCACATGGTGGCACTTTGTGTCATCAGGTGTTTGTCGCTTGTGTGATGTCCTAGTGGGGTAAAAAATCTACTACTACTACTACTACTACCTGGGTTTTTTAAAAATTTTTTTTAACTAGTCATCCCCTTGTGGGATGAAATTTTTTGTTATTTTGAAGCCCCACCCTGGCTCTTGCTGAACGCAGTTTCTGGGACCTCTCCACGGGTGATCCTCAACCACATGGTGGCACTTTATGTCATCCGGTATTTATCACTTGCGTGATGTCCTAATGGGGTAAAATGTACTACTACTACTCTTAATTGTACTAATTGGTTTTTGTTGTTTTTTTATTGATAATAATCTTTGTCATCCCCCTAGTGGGATGCAATTTTTTGTTATTTTGAAGCCCCAGCCTGGATGTTCCCGGAGGCTGCAATATAGCCTGATGGTTGAAAGCAGTTTCCGGGACCTCTCCATAGGTGATCCTCATCCGCATGGTGGCACTCTGTGTCACAGGGTGTTTATCACTCTATATAATGTCTTGGTGGGGTAAAAATGTACTTACTTGGTTGTTTTTCCTCTTTCAGACCTTAGTCTTGTTCCAAAACCTGATTTATCCATGCACATCCATTTTAAAGATTTGGCTTATCTGTATGCAGACTGTTGGTTCCCTGCCTCTCAGACAGATGCACTCCGACTTCGAAGGAAACCCTAAGTCGACTCTTACGACATGCTTGTTAGGGAGGCAGTGGGTTTATTCTTTCTCTCCCGCACAATAGGCCCAAGAATCTACACGAAAAAGTATTGTTGTACAGCCTTATTGCCTGCCAAAGTAAACATTTCTGTAAGCAGTAACATTACATTAAATAGGACATGCAAATCAATATGAGTGAAATGAAACAAGCAAAACAATAATATTGCCAGTTTATATCACCAGTGCTTGTGTGTTGCCAGCAGAAAGGCTGGATTGGTCATGAAAAACAAAAAAAAATTGAATAACTGGCAATTTATTATTTTTTAAAAAAAGGCTATCCCTGTTGGATTAGTATCTTCTTATCCTTTTTTTTTTTTTTTTTTGCATTTACCGGCTTTAAACTCTGGCAGAAATTTCTGATTGTTCATCCACTTCGGGACCTTGGCCTTTTCCCAGAATGTCAGTTTGGCACACACACCTGTTTTACAGCTCTACTTTATTATGCAGAATGTTGGTTCCTTGCCACTTGAGCTGATGTACTTCTCAGCTTTGAAGGAAACACCTTAATTAGTTTACTTTTAAAGCATTCTTGTTAGGGGTCATGGTTGGACCCCCACCCCATAATGGGGCCCCAGAACCCACACAGGAACAATATACCCAAACATCCAATTTCAGGACTCCTTATTGGTTGCCTTTTATAAGTTAGGGGGGGGGGGGGGGGGAAAAGGTCAATGGGTCTTTTTCCCTGACAGACGCACATCCTCCTCCCCCCCCCCCCCCCCTTTCTCCTTTTTTTTCAATTTAAACCTGGAACCACATGAGTTATGAGGATTCACTTGCATGCACCCTTTCAAGACAGTCATCTGTTGGCCTGGTAGCACTTATTTTTTTTTTTAAAGCAGGATTGACTCAAGGCTCAGCTAGCCTTAGCCTACGAGGGAGGAAAATAATGGTCATTTATAACCTCCATGCATGTCATAAGAGGCGACTAAGACTGGTTGATGTGAGATGGCTAACTCATCCTAAAGAAAACTTTAGCTGCAAAATGCAAGCAACCATGAACCTATCTTGATGATGTAAAATATGTGGTGACTTTAGTCAAGCTGATGACAAGAAGTGCTAATGTTGTATTTAGCACTTTATACCTTCAAAGGTCAGGTCTTGGTCAAATATGACTAAGCTACTGTATAACAGTAGCTGGTACCACCTCTTTTCTGTTACGCCGAATGTTGGGCGGTGTATACCAAACCTGACATCCCATATTGTGCCTGTGGCTTCGGGCAGAGGAGCGCATTGTGGAGGATACTAGCTTTATTCTAGCAAGAGGAAGTGCAACCTGAAAACTTTATGTTATGGCAGGGCAGACCCCCCTTAGCCTTGGCTGGCAGCTAGTCTAGGGAAGAAAGCTTTGACAAGCGGACAGAACACTGCTGTTCTGATCCTGCAGCTTCTGCAGCCTGCTTTGTTTCGAATGTACTGGTGTTACTTTTCCTTTAAAGTAAAAAAAGGCAGGTCGAGATAGAGTCATGATGCATGAGCAGCATATAATACTACAGTACTGCCCAAGTTTTGTGCTTTGGAATGTTATAATTGTGGAAGACTTTTCTAACACTGGCGAGTCTTGCTAGTCACACCAACTGTTGCCATGAGCTGCGAGTCCCATGCCTTCTCATAGCACAATATAACACTATAGTCTGGAAAGACAGAATAGTGCTAATCAATCTTCATAGGGCTTGACTTGAGTGGGATAAGGGTTAGTTCTTGAAAGAAAGATGCAGGAAGAACGTGGCTCATACTGACCTATTCAACAGTTCAGTGTAGTATGATCAAGAAATTATGGACCCAGCACCGTATGCAGAATATACCATCTTGGCTTAAAATTAGTCTTTCACCTTTATCTGTTTTTACTTTTTTTTTTTTTTTTTTTTTTTTTCATTTAGTTTCTGTTGTCTTTGAGCATTTTCCTGTAACCAAGAAAACTAATTTCACAGCTTACATTAAAATTAGTAAACATGAAGGTAGGGGTGGGTGTCAGGGAAAAGGCTGTAGGGGGATAAAAATAATTTAATCTGAGGATAAAAAGTCAGGATAGAACCATTAACTTTTTCATTCCCATAAGGTTCTAGCTGATGTCTGAGGGAGCAAGAAATGGCAGTATCTTCCAGAGGGACAAACTATACAACCCTTGCAGGAAACAAATATGTTTTCATAGTTCTTCAGACTGGCTGACTAAACATAAGATGTAAAAACATAGATAACTCACTGATTGACACAAGTGAATAATACCCAGTCACACATATTGCATTGTTTGGGACATAAAGAGTTAATGAATTACATACAGTGAAAGCACATTCAGTGGTATGGCCACTTAGAGAGAGTACTTGTGAGGCTACAGCATGCAAGGCATTTGCTAAAAGAAGAGATGAACATTAAACCTGAGAAGGGAGAACAAAAAATAAGATTGATAGATAACAGAAAAACTACAGGAATAAATGTCTGTGGTCGAGATGGCTAATCAGGCAAGAGCCAGAACCATGTATTTCATTTGACACCCAGAGCTGTAAAAGAAGAAGTGAAGTGTAAGCATACAGTCATCCTTAAATGATCCATTTGACATTTTCTTTCTCTTGCAGAACAGACCATCAGAATCATATCCAGGCTCTTCCTGTATAGCAGAAGTGGCCAGGGTTTTGAAACCCCGTTATCATTTTGCAGGATTAGAAGGAGTCTTTTATGAAAGGCAACCCTACAGGTGACCTTTGAAAATATTGTTTAATAACAAACATATTTCTTGTTTTTGTTTTTAAATTCCAGTGTGACTTATTGATCTTCTTTCTTCTTCCCTTTCACCAACTGTAAACTCTGGCAGAAAGTTTCTGTTGTTTGTCCACTTCTGGACTGTAGTCCTGTTCCAGAACCTGAGTGTTGCATGCTCATCTCTGTTTTACAGTTATAACTTATTTCTATGCAGATGTTGGTTCTTTGCCTCTCAGGCTGATGCACTTTGGCTTCGAAGGAAGTTCCCAGTTAGTCAGCTCTTGCGACATAGTTTCTGGTAGACCTATAATAGGGCCCCTGAACCCACACAGGAATGAATTATTGATAAAATGGTAAAAAAAATGCCTTCTGACACTTTTGATGCATCAGGCAAATGGTGCTTACTCTATATTAGTTAAACTTCAATCAGCATTTGCTGAGTGATGTAGTCAGTATTATAAGGTTACATTTTTTTGCTTACCATGATATTTCCTGGTATCTGTCAGCTTGAACTGAGAGCACCCCAAAAACATGTGCATTGATGCAGATTCGAACATAAGACCTTCAAGCATCTTGCCACTGCACTACCGTACATCATGTATATCATGACTAGTTTTATATTTTGTGTGGTATTTTAAAACTGAAGTTGTAATTACTTTTCATTTACTTGTTCACATTTAACAGAAACCATCATATCTTGCTGGAGTCTGCTCGGCACACAACAAGATTTATTGGCCTTGCAAATGTTGCAAACAAGGAGAAGCAGAAAGTAAGAGGTCTTTTATTGCTTATGTACCCTTGATTCTGCAAGAATATTTAAACAGGCTAAGCTCAACATGCAGAAGATATAACATGAAAATAAATACTACTAAAACTGAAGTAATGTAGGTCAGAAGAATTCCTGGTCCACTACATATCAGATTGAATGGTACCTGTATGAAAAAGTTGAAGAATTTAAATATCTAGGAAGTATATTCTTGGAGGAGGGAAGAATAGATCAGGAAAAAGAAACAAGATGCCAATGAGCCAGTGCACTTATATACCAACTGACACCGTTATTAAGACATCCAAACATGTTGGAGCGCCAAAAAACAGCTCTTAAACAGTATATTCATACTTGGACATTGTTGAAGGCTAACCTATGTAAAATTAACACCTGTGAAAGGAGATACCTGAGAAAAGCCATCAGCTTAACCATCTGAGACAAAGTTAGAAATGATATTATCAGACAGACTGTAGGAACAACACCATGCAGCAAATTCATTGAGAAACAGAAGATCAAATAGTTTGAACATTCAGTAAGAATGCAGCCAGAACAACTACCATCGCAGGTGCTTCACATGAAAAGATCTAAAGTGAAATCAAAAGGCGGTCATAAGAGAATATGGATTGATGACAGTAAAGAGCTTCTACATCAACATGGAAAAACAGTAACCAGTGCTGCTCATCACGCAATAGACTGCAAACTGTTCCTCCCCACAACGCTTGATGGCGAAAGTGGAAATTCATCATGATGATGAAGCGACTGAGCGCGCCCTGGCTCGATTGCCGATCATCTGATAGACTGCGACGCCTAGCGGCACAAGCAGATTTTGACAAAAGAAGAAGATGAAACCCTTGATTGCCTTAAGAATGCCAGATGCTAAGAACTGTTCATATACCAAGTCAGAGCTGTTGATTCAGAAATTATTTTAGATTCAAAATAATCAAGTACAGAATTCCTTTATAGATTTTTCGTGATAGATGGTAATAGAAATTCAAGTAAAGGCAAGTACAAATTTTCAGCAGTTTAAAAGACAGTACTCTTTTTTTTTTAAAAGGACGCTGGAAAGACATGTTGGAGGCAAGCAAGAGATAGAGCTTGACAGAAATAGAAAAAATAACGCCAGGAGATGAACAAACAACAGACTAGGAGAGAGTACAAGCAGAATGAGAGACAGCGAGTGTTGAAGATACAGTGTAGCCATTGTTTAGGTAGCATCTGACAGATTTATGTAGTTCTAGCTTTATTACTCAACTTCATCCAGTGTAGACTCAGACTCATTCTTTATTCTTTATAGTTAATATTATTTACATGCTATTACAAATTTATGTAAATACTCAGCTGCATACAGTATTTTGAGTCTCTTATTGATCATCAGCGATGATGACATTGTTGAGGTATCCGTTGCCCTTGACAATCCCCTTAGGGTGGTTAATGTGAGAAGCACTTGTCAGTCAAATCCAAGCCTGCGACTTTGAGTGATTGCTCGTGCAGCTTGTTGATTGTGATTGCAAATGCAAGTCAATCAGGAAAATGCAATCATTGGAATGAAAACATCAAGTCAGCCTAAATTAGTAGAATCCTTGGGATTAGGGCGTGGTTGCCCTAAAATAGCCAAGTTGAATGGCTGCTTTGATGATGTAAGTGTAAAACCTTCACTGTCATCTGGACCATTGAAAACTGTTCAGTGGGTCCAAATTGCATTGCAACATAATTGGACACCCAGCTTTCGGCACTAATCTATGCCAGTTTGATGGGGTGAATTAAAAAACTATATCAGATAACTTGTGTCTCCACTTTCATTTTAATATGTCTGTTGAGAAGTATGTTCTTGTAGTAGTTGGAACTTTTAGAGGTGTTAAAATTTAGTGTACTTGAGCCATTTGTTCACCGTTTGAGAGAGTTCTTGTGACAGACACATGTATTTTCTGTTTTATTGTATAAAACAGTGATTCCCAAACTGTGTGCGCCCCGGGGAGCCGCGACCTCTTCACAGGTGCGCCGCGAAATATTGTAAAGCTTCATAATTAACTTAACCAAGACATGAATAGTCATACTTTTACTTAGGTTAGGGCGCCATAGAAAATATTTTTATTGAATAAAGACGCAGCGAGCACGAAAAGTTTAGGAAACACTGGTATAGAAGGTAATTAATTTTAGTGATCCTGTTAATACAGATTTATGTCAGTATTTAGTCATGTATAGTATTTTTTAGTTTCTTATTGACCAGTCCCACTCACAGATGTCTTTGCGAGAATCATTCGTCATTCTGAAAATCATTCATCATTCTGAGAATCATTCGTCATTCTGAGAATCATTCGTCATTCTGAAAATCATTCATCATTCTGAGAATCATTCATCATTCTGAGAATCATTCGTCATTCTGAAAATCATTCGTCATTCTGAGAATCATTCGTCATTCAAATCCAAAACAGTTGACCTAGCACATTTATGACCTGTACAAATGTCATGTTGCTGCTATTCACCATTATAGAGGAGTTGTTATGACAGACAGGCACGTGGTTTTCTGTTTCATAGTATAGATTAGCATAGTAAAACTTCATTGTTTCTTATAGAAGTTTAATTTTTATTCATTTGCTCCAGGCGGAATTCCTGGTTTTGTTTTTTAACATTATTTGTTATTTCTCACTAAAAACCAAATGTATATGTAGGACATGTATTACATCTATTGTTTGAACTGACATCGACTTTATCTTCTGCAGTATCTGTATGCGTTTAATATTATACCCCTGAAGAAGATGGCTTTGTCAGATCTTGTCAAACAGCCAGAAGATGTCACAGAATGTCCCTATACAGCATCTGATATATTAGCCCCCAAGCAGGTAAGTTAGATTATTAAATAGCATAATGTTGCTGTGTTTATGTTTATTATGAAAGTTAAATTCATCATTGATTCTGGGGTAGTGAATTGGATGCCTGGTCGTCTAGGATGACTTCTTGTAAATGAATCGTTGAAAAGTTTGCACCACTATTTGCAATTTATTCATCACTGCAATTGATAGTGGCTGGCTAAATGGTTAAGAATGCTAGGCTCTCATGTGGAAGACTGAGGTTCGAATCCTCAGTAAGATTGTGTACTTTGTTTTTGTCAGGGCAAAGATAAAATCTTAACCTGCACAGTCCGTAGCGACAGCACTAGCCATGCACCCATAAATCCTCATGCTTAAAGCCCCTTCCCCAACTTTTTTTTTTCGCCTTCACCGCAAAAGGTTAAGGTAAAGTCCGGGGATGTGAACCAGCGTCATTACACATGGTTATAAACCATTAGTTTTCTACCACCAGTACGGACAGCTGATAAGAACTTTCCTCCATTCACCCCAGAGTGTCAACTCTGGTACCCATTTCCTAAAGACTGGGTGAACCCCAGGAACCGCCCTGTTTTGAACACCAACCGTGGCTGAAGCGAGTTGCAGCTGGATTTGAAAGCGAGCCTCTTATCGACTGCGCTAATGTGGGTCCACCGCAAAAGGGGTAAACATAATCAGTAATGGTAGTTTTTAATGGCAGTTTTGGCAGTTAATTGCCACATTGTGTCTAGGAGAGTCATAGTTCAGATGTGTCCAAGACATTTTGTACTGACTGTGTTGATCTTTAGAGATTCCTTGATTTTTCTCTTATAGACACATTTAACTCTTGCATCCTGCTTGTATGTTTTTATCATATTGTGTCTAGGAGAGTCATAGTTCAGATGTGTCCAAGACATTTTGTACTGACTGTGTTGATCTTTAGAGATTCCTTGATTTTTCTCTTATAGACACATTTATCTCTTGCATCCTGCTTGTATGTTTTTATCATATTGTGTCTAGGAGAGTCATAGTTCAGATGTTTCCAAGACATTTTGTACTGACTGTGTTGATCTTTAGAGATTCCTTGATTTTTCTCTTATAGACACATTTATCTCTTGCATCCTGCTTGTATGTTTTTATCATATTGTGTCTAGGAGAGTCATAGTTCAGATGTGTCCAAGACATTTTGTACTGACTGTGTTGATCTTTAGAGATTCCTTGATTTTTCTCTTATAGACACATTTATCTCTTGCATCCTGCTTGTATGTTTTTATCATATTGTGTCTAGGAGAGTCATAGTTCAGATGTTTCCAAGACATTTTGTACTGACTATGTTGATCTTTAGAGATTCCTTGATTTTTCTCTTATAGACACATTTATCTCTTGCATCCTGCTTGTATGTTTTTATCATATTGTGTCTAGGAGAGTCATAGTTCAGATGTGTCCAAGACATTTTGTACTGACTGTGTTGATCTTTAGAGATTCCTTGATTTTTCTCTTATAGACACATTTATCTCTTGCATCATGCTTGTATGTTTTTATCATATTGTGTCTAGGAGAGTCATAGTTCAGATGTGTCCAAGACATTTTGTACTGACTGTGTTGATCTTTAGAGATTCCTTGATTTTTCTCTTATAGACACATTTATCTCTTGCATCCTGCTTGTATGTTTTTATCATATTGTGTCTAGGAGAGTCATAGTTCAGATGTGTCCAAGACATTTTGTACTGACTGTGTTGATCTTTAGAGATTCCTTGATTTTTCTCTTTATAGACACATTTATCTCTTGCATCCTGCTTGTATGTTTTTATCATATTGTGTCTAGGAGAGTCATAGTTCAGATGTGTCCAAGACATTTTGTACTGACTGTGTTGATCTTTAGAGATTCCTTGATTTTTCTCTTATAGACACATTTATCTCTTGCATCATGCTTGTATGTTTTTATCATATTGTGTCTAGGAGAGTCATAGTTCAGATGTGTCCAAGACATTTTGTACTGACCGTGTTGATCTTTAGAGATTCCTTGATTTTTCTCTTATAGACACATTTATCTCTTGCATCATGCTTGTATGTTTTTATCATATTGTGTCTAGGAGAGTCATAGTTCAGATGTGTCCAAGACATTTTGTACTGACTGTGTTGATCTTTAGAGATTCCTTGATTTTTCTCTTATAGACACATTTATCTCTTGCATCCTGCTTGTATGTTTTTATTATAATGATGTCAGCTGCTGTGTGGTGCTTTGGCTGTTTAATAACTTCTCCATCATTCAGTTTCACAAACATTTTTTCAGGATGAAAAAGGACAGCAGTTTTTTTATGATATGAAAGCAGGACCAGAACAGAGAGGCAGAAAACGAGATGGACAGCGAGGTAGAGGAGGTCGACCCAATGATCATCAGGGCCAGAACAGAGAATACAGTGACAAGAAGCCCAGGAAAGAAGGTAAATCATTATAGGTCTTTCTTCCAGAGTTTTGAAATAACAGTCTGCACTCTGTATTATTGAACAGAAGTTATTGATCTTACCAATAGTTCAGACAAGATCAAACTAAACAATCACATTTTACCAATAGTTCAGACGACATCAAACTAAACAGTCACATTCTGGAAAGAATCAACAGCTTTACATACCTAGGAAGTAAGATGACATCTATAGGGGACTCCGAACCAGAAATGTCATCTAGAATCGCACTGGTATCTGGTGCCTTTAACAAACTTTCCAACATCTGGAAGTCAAAGACACTCTGCAATCACACAAAATTTAAGATCTTTAACTCTTGTGTGATTTCAGTGCTAATTTATGGATGGAAAACAAAGGTAGATGTAGATTTTTAAAAAAACACAGACAGTTTTTAGAACAAATGTCTTAGAAAAATACTAAATCTCCACTGGACAGATTTCAGATCCAGTACCCAAATAAGACAAGAGATTGAGCAAGACAATGAATCAAATTTTATAAGAAGGTCCCGCTGGAACTACATCGGCCATGCACTCAGAATGGATAAGACAACACTCACCCATCAAGCTCTCATATGGACATCAAAAGTGGAAAAAAACAGGGAAGACCAGGAGAAACTCTACGAAGAACCATCATCAGAGAAAACTCAACCCTGTGCCTAACAAACATCCAAGACTTAAGCAGGTAGCAATGAATCGGCAGACATGGAGAGCTATGATCTCTGCCCTATTTGCGCCCCCCCAGGCCCAAGAGGAAAGACTAACTAGCTAACTCTGTATTAACCTGACAGTCTTCTTTTCTGTTTCTCCAGCATTGAACCCCAGTAGAAAGTCCTGGTTCGTCATCTATGTCTGGTCTTTGGTTTTGTGTCAGAACTTGAATGTTTCATACACGTTAATTCTCCTGATCCAGCTTTCTATGTGTCTTGACCAGTTATGGGCTCTGATCCTGGTAGACTAGCAGTGATGGTGATGCACCTCTGCTTCCCAAACCTAATCAACATTACAATGTGCCTTGCCAGATGACATGCCCACCTATTATGGTTACTGGTATTTTGGATTGATTCTGTTGATGTTTTACATACCGCCATCTTAGATGATCCAGCATCATTTCTCTGTCTAGCTCTGCCCTTTTTTTTTCCTTTTTCTTTTTTTCAAACAGCTCCTCTTTCCATTAGAGAATGGAATAGAGGGATAGATTGTGAGCCCTGTGTGAGATAATATGGCACAACAGGATAATGAATCTTTTCATTACCACTAGTATCAACAAGGGGGCTAAGTGGTCTCAGTGCTTGAGGTTCCGGGTTCAAGCCCCAGTGAAGGCTAGGATTTTTTCCGTGCACTTTTAGTAATTTCTTAGGTCTCTGGGTAGTAAAATCTAGTGCCTGTGTGTATTGCTGCGCATGTCAAAAATCCCTTATCAATTGGAAATCAAAAAAAGAGTAGCCTAGCGGCACTGCCCGGGCAAAATTTGGAGCCACAATCTACCCAAAGTATCTCAGGATCCTCGCCAGTGCTAGGGAGTTCGTGCACTGGGCTGAGATTCTTTGTACTCAGGCTTGAGTCAGAACTATAATGGAGCACTTATCGGTTACTACCCTTGTGCCATGATGTTGATCCGTCGTCTAAACCTGAACTAGTATCAGCGGTTTTCTTCTTCTGCCCTTCAACTACAAATGGAACATGGACCATCAGTCATCTCACACCAAGTTCTTTCTTTTGCTTTTACATGTTACTAACCTAGTACCTTCCTTATCTTTGTTACTTAGCTACTGTTAGGTGACTTATTTAATAGTTGTTATTGTGCTGTATTAATATTCTATTTTCTTATGGTTTTTAGTTCAGCCTGCCGGACCATGCTGGTTTTGCCTTGGAAGTCCAGAAGTGGAGAAACATTTGGTTGTCAGTGTCAGTGATAAGGTTAGAAATGTCTTTGTGTATATTGTTTTTTTTTAAATCTGATCTTTGTACTTCTTCTTCTTTGCGTTCTCTGACTGTATACTCTGGCAAAAAATTATGGATGTTCATCCACTTTTGGACTCTACTCCTGCTCCAGAAACTGAGTATTGCATGCACATCCATTTCACAGATCTACTCATTTGCATGCAGACTGTTTGTTCCTTGCCTCTCGGGCAGATGTGGTGCGGCTTCAAAGGAAGTTCCCAATTAGTTGACTCTTACAACATGCTTTTGGGCAGGCAGTGGGTCTGTTCTTGTTTTTCCCACAATGGGGCCCCGATACCCACACAGGGAGGTCACTGTACTCAAGCAAGCCTGAAGGTCTCTCGCTGAGAATTCAGAAACATTTTTATGATAAATGCCCTTGCAATTTGCAGAGTATGTTTGTGTCCTTGTCTGCTTGCATTTGCTCAAAAACAGTCACATGTATATGCATCTATCTGTCTCTCCTCCTCCCTTTCTTTTCCCTATGACCTCTCTCTCTCTCTTTTCGCGCTCTCTCTCTCTCTCTCTCTCTCTCTCTCTCTCTCTCTCTCTCTCTCTCTCTCTCTCTCTCTCTCTCTCTCTCTCTCTCTCTCTCTCTCTCTCTCTCTCTCTTTCTTTCTTTCTCTCTCACAAATTTGTGATATATTTTCTCTGTGTAATCATGTTTTTTTTTTTTACTTATGCAAAGTTGTAGAGAAATGTAGTGTCAATACACCATTTTATATTCTTTATTATCTTTCAACAGGTTTATCTGGCCTTAGCTAAAGGAGGTTTGGTGGCAGATCATGTTTTAATTCTGCCTGTCCATCATCATCAGTCACTTGTGTCATGTCCTGATGATGTCCTACAGCAGATAGAACAATATCCTTTGATATGTGTTTGGTTTTGATTAGTTAGTTAGTTAGTCTTTCCTTTTGAGCCTAGGGTGGCGCATAGAGCAGAGGTCATCGCTCTCCATGTCTGGTGGTTTGTTGCCACCTGTTTTAGGTCTTGGATGTTCTTTATAAAATTGGATACATTTTCTTGTTTGGTCTCTTGCCTTAGTTGCATATTTGATCTGGAATCTGTCTAGTGGATCTTTAGCTTTCTTCTAAGATATTTGTTCTCGAAATTGTCTAATTTAAAAAAAAATCTAGAGCAGCCATTGCTTTCCAACTCTCGCATCCATAAGTTAGCAGTGGAATCACACAAGAGTTGAAGATCTTCATTTTGATTAAGAGAGTGCAGAGAGTGGCCAGCGGGTGCTATGAAGGTGGAAGTCCCACATTTGATTCACGTCAATTCATACTCAGGTGATCTGATTATCTATACAGATGGTCTGGTGTTGAGAGGAAAGAGAAGTGCCTGGGGGTTGTTGTGAAAGCCAGTGGAAAATCTTTAGTTTAAGACAATATAGCATACGACACCACAACATCTAGCATGAGAATGGAGGTGGAGGCATTAACTGCAGCTCTCCGGTGGCTAGATAACAAGATGCATACATATGTAATAATTGTAACAGACTCTGAAAGCATGCTGAGAAAGGTGAAGGCAGGGACTCTTCGAGCAGAGTGGCAAGCTTCACTGGGAAGGTCACAGATAGTGAGCATACTTTGGATCTTTTCTCCAGGCAATGCCGGCAGGGTGGGTAATGAACAGGCAGACAGATTGACTGGATCTGCACCACTGGGTGGTGAACTGATACATGACAAGGCAGATATGGTCAAGGCCCTTTGGGAACAAGCAACGGAATCAGTCGAGAAACAAAATTATTATGGCCTGGCGAGAATGGGGTACCTGGGTGTAACCAGAGGGTTTGGCTGGTTCACTACACTCAGAAGAAAGGCAAGACAGACATATAACCAGATTTTGACCACTACTATCAGTATTTAAACTCACTAGCTGCTGAAGATGAGGACGGAGCACAAATGGGAATGCCCTGAGTGCTGTGATGTCAATTATTGACTGAGCTCAATGTTGATTTGTAAAAATTACTAAATACTTAACATTTTCTTCTTTTTCTTTCTCTTTGTTGTCTTCTTTCTCTTCTGTTGCTGCTGCTGCTTTTTTTTTAAAAGGGTGGTTGGCATGTTTTGTTGAGATTTACAGCTAGGCTGCGATATCTTCACCTTTCAGCTTAACACGTCCATCTTCAGCAAACCTTTAAACAAGTCACCTTTTAAGCCATGCTTGTTAAATAGTGTTGAGTCTGTTCTCCACCCCCACCACCACCACTCCGCCCCCTTTTTTTTTTCTTCTTTTAACCGGCAAGAGAAAAATTATATGAACTATGTACAGTGTGAAGAGAGCTTGTTACAGTGTATCACTAATCTGAAGTCTGAGAGCTGCTTTTGTACAGTGGCTAGTATGCTTGCCTTCTAACCTGATGATCATTGGTTTGAATCCCCATCAAAGCAACCTCTTTTTTTTAAGATTGATCCCACTTAAAGTGTGTACTAGAGTGAATATTCTTTAAAGTAAAGGTTGCTGGCTTGATATTTACTATATCATCCATTGACGGAATACTTGGTCAGTTTTAATTTGGGCCTACCACCATAAACTGTAATACACCTCTCACTGTTAAAATGGGTCCTTATATGGTTCCATTTTTGCATAATGTATTCAGTTTGCACTTTTACCTCATTTTAACGGACAAAGGGATAGTAACATATGTCTGATATTGCCCGTTGTTACTGAAAGGAGTCTGTAATTGCTAACATAAAAGAATTGCATTAGGAAAAGAAGAAAAATACTTTTAATCAAACACAGCATGCAGTTTTACAATGTCAAGTTACTGGTACCATTGAAATTTTAACTCTTTGCTTGCTGCTGAAGATGAGGACAGAGCATTAAGGAGGGTGTCACGAGTGCTGTGATGTTGATTCTTAATTTAACATTTAACAATGTAAAGTTATCTGTACACTGTAAAAGTAATAATTTAAATGTTTTAAATTCTAAAATTAGACTTTAAGGTGGCACATTTTTTGAATTTGTAGCTGAAAAAAAAATACTAAATCTATTTCTTCAGATTTCTTTTGCTGCGTATGATCTCCATTAAATAGGGATCCATTTAAGTGTATTACTTTTATGAAAGATAGTAGTGAGAAGTTATCTGAAGTATGAATGAATGAATGAGTCAAGAATGTATGTCACTGCACTGAGGATATTCCCACAGGTGCTCAGTGAAGCATCACTCCATAGTGATCACATTAGGTAATTGGTTATTACATCTCTTGTCAACATGTTTGTTTCATTATATCTGTTGTGTTTTCCATAACCCCAGTTGATACATACAAAACAGGTCTCCGGAAGATGTTTAAGTTACACGGCAAGAGTGTTGTTTTCTTTGAGAGAAATTTTAGAACTCAGCATCTCCAGATTCAGGTAGGTTCACTATAGCAGGTTTAGGAATGTTGTTGAAACAATTTGGTTAATATTTTGTATTCTTTCCTGTTTTGATGTAATAACAGACTGACAGTCAGGAGCCAGTGGTATTTCTTAGTAACTCCCCGCCATCCATGTCAGTAGTCAAAGGTATTTCTTAGTAATTCCCTGCCATGTCAGTAGTCAAAGGTATTTCTTAGTAATTCCCTGCCATGTCAGTAGTCAAAGGTATTTCTTAGTAACTCCCTGTCATGTCAGTAGTCAAAGGTATTTCTTAGTAACTCCCTGCCATCCATGTCAGTAGTCAAGGATATTTCTTTGTAACTCCCTGCCATGTCAGTAGTCAAAGGTATTTCTTAGTAATTCCCTGCCATGTTAGTGGTCCAACAATATTTCTTAGTAACTCCCTGCCATGTCAGTAGTCAAAGGTATTTCTTAGTAACTCCCCGCCATCCATGTCAGTAGTCAAAGGTATTTCTTAGTAACTCCCTGCCATGTCAGTAGTCAAAGGTATTTCTTAGTAACTCCCTGTCATGTCAGTAGTCAAAGGTATTTCTTAGTAACTCCCTGTCATGTCAGTAGTCAAAGGTATTTCTTAGTAACTCCCTGTCATGTCAGTAGTCAAAGGTATTTCTTAGTAATTCCCTGCCATGTTAGTGGTCCAACAATATTTCTTAGTAACTCCCTGTCATGTCAGTAGTCAAAGGTATTTCTTAGTAACTCCCTGTCATGTCAGTAGTCAAAGGTATTTCTTAGTAACTCCCTGTCATGTCAGTAGTCAAAGGTATTTCTTAGCAACGCCCAGTAATGTCAGTTGTCAAAGGTATTTCTTAGTAACTCCCTGCCATGTCAGTAGTCAAAGGTATTTCTTAGTAACTCCCTGCCATCCATGTCAGTAGTCAAGGATATTTCTTAGTAACTCCCTGCCATGTCAGTAGTCAAAGGTATTTCTTAGTAACTCCCTGCCATGTCAGTAGTCAAAGATGTGTCCCAGCAACAGTCAGACTTGTGAAGGGTTCTGATCACACCGGGCCATAACTGTGGGGACTGGCCAGCAGTGAATTTATTTATGACAAGCTAGATGTTGTAAGGGCCCTTTGTGGGCAAGTGAACAGTGTGGAAGCACCGATGGATCATCAGGGTATGAAGAGAATGGTACTGCTAGGAGTGTCCAGGGGATCGGGTCGATAATCAGCACTCAAGGGAAAGGTGAGACTGATATACAATCAGACTGCTTTTGGTGCCATTGGAATTGGAACTCTGGGCTTGCTGCTGAAGATGGGGACAGAGCGGATATGGGCATGTGATGTGATGTCGATTCCTAATTAAACATTAAACGAAGAATCATTTCGTTTTCTAGGTGGTACCTTTTCCTCAAGATGCAGTTGTGGATATTAAAGACACGTTCATGTCGTGTGCAGAAGCAGAGTCATTAGAGCTGGCAGAGTTACCCAAACACACAGACCTCAAGCAGGTGGTTATGTCTTTTATTTTTCTATCATCACATTGAGAAATCCATAACCTTGTTCACATCTTTATTCCTGTTAGATTAAAACAATAGCACCAAACATATAGTCTGCCTAGGCTGTTTACAGAGCTAAGGGTCTTCTTCTTCTTCTTCTGTTCCACCTTGTACCTCATCGAAGTGTTGGGGGGGGGGGGGGATGTAACATTCGTTGATGAGCTCTGTCAAGGGCACTATTAAGACTGATATTAAGGGTCACAGACTGAAAAGAAGAAGGTCTTGGATGGCGCAGTCGGTCTCTGTGGTAAAGTGGTCAAGTCATTTGCCTCGCGCTCTGAGGGTCGTTCCACAGCTCCGCCTTTCAGTTCATGGGTGCAACTTTTACGGAGATCCCTGGGGATCATTGCCGGAGCTACGGAGTTTGTGCTCTGCACAGCACTCTTGGCAGAGGCCAGTCGTTCTGCTGAGAGAGACCAAGCCATATGGGATAAAGCCTGGTGCAATTAAGTGGGTCCTCTCTACTTTAACCTTTTAACTTTTACAGAAGTTTTGGGAGAAGCATTCCAGAATATACCTCTTTTGTTGTTCCCTGGCTCTTTCTCCATCAAGTTTTCCAGTTAATTTCTTCTCGTAACATGCCCAAATCAGGTGTACTCAGCTCTAATCTTGAAAAAACCGTGCAGTGTGTTAAACTTCATGATGAGCTCCATACCTTGGTAATTTTCAGAATTGTGTACACTTTAGATTTACAGCATTTAATATCAGAGCACATTTCAGATTCATAGCATTTAATATCAGAGTACATTTCAGATTCATAGCAGTTAATATCAGAGTACCTTTCTGATTCATAGCATTTAATATCACAGTACATTTCAGATTCATAGCATTTAATATCAGAGTACATTTCAGATTCATAGCATTTAATATCAGAGTACATTTCAGATTCATAGCATTTAATATCAGAGTACATTTCTGATTCATAGCATTTAATATCAGAGTACATTTCAGATTCATAGCATTTAATATCAGAGTACATTTCAGATTCAT